CGCTGACTCCGGAGTTCCTGCAAATACGTGCGGCAGATCCGTCGGTGGCTCGCGGTGGCTATCGCCCGAATCCGCCCTTTGCGCCAACTTCGAGCTGCTCTTGCCGTTGTTGTTGTTGTTATTGTTGCCCATGGATATCAGCAATGCATCTGTTTTGATCACGATTCAAGAATGCAATTCTTGAAATGAGTTGAAAATACACAATATATAGGAAGATATATATGTGTGTGTGTATATACAGATGTATATATTATAATTGAAAACTATGTATCATAATCAGAAGAAGTACCGTGATGCGGAGGGAAATCAGAAGTGAATTTGGACGGCACACCCATTTTCTCGGAATGAAACTTCAAGGCTTCAACGACTCTTGCCGGTATTATCACTCTCGGACACCCTGTAATTAACATTAAAAGAAGAGAGAGAAAAAACATTACAACCTCCAAACTCTTATCTAAACATTAAAGTACAATCCTTTATCAAAAAAAAAAAAATCATTAAAACATTTTGGTTGGAACATCATTTCATTACGACGCCAATATAAACAGTTCACATCAAATCAAACATATATATATATATATAAGGATCTCGGGTAGTTTATGACGTCAGCCCTACTACACATACACACATATATATATATATATACCCAGTTTAATATATGATCATAGTATCTAAGAAAGATGTATCCCTTCTAGATTATGAATCTATTAAAGTATCCCCGAGTATAGATCTCATATAAGCTCTCTGGCATATGTATATATATATATAAGAAAATTACTTGGCACACTATTAAATCCCTTCCGTAAAAAACAAAGAAAGATGTACGTCATCTCTTAGACTCACAACAGTAGTGGTGACGCAGAAATGACGATAGGACGTCGATGTTATCTTAGAGAACATAATTTCCATTGATATATATATATATATATATATGTTATCATCAAGTGGGGTAGGGATATATACATATATATATATATATATATATATCAAGTGGAGCGTAGGGATTTATTTAAATACTAGATATTGTACAAGTCACCAGTCACCTGATTGGTTACTTGATTTGAAAGGGAAAAGAGAAATAGGGAGGGGGACCAAAGAGATAAAAGAGGGAAGATTCTAAGCAGCATATTTGTCAACCACACATTGAGCAAAAAAAAATCTTGAACAGTGGAATCGATAGGGATTATTATGTCTTTGAAAAGGAATCTTTTCATGTTGAATCTGGAACCTACCTTCGATTAGATTCCACTCAGTAAAACAATCTAAGATTAGATTCACATGCCCTATGTGTTAACCAATATCAGTTGGATTAAACATATACATATTTTTATAATATATATATATATATATACATATCGAATTAAGAATATATACATATAAAATTTGTATGTATAAATAACTTTTTAACCTAAATGATACCGCAGTCTAATCATATGATAATATTATTTAGATTTATCGCGCGCGCGTGTGTATATATATATACCCCCGTATCTAGAACAATAATTTCATGGCATCTGTAAACTATGTCTTACACATTTGGAGCTTATGATCTCGTTACAAACTTACACGTGTGTATTATAATTCTCGCTTTCAGAAAGAACATACTGGAATCTCCAAATATTATAATTAAAGAGAACACGTCATGGTGGTTTATTTAATATGTCAATTTTCTGCCTTTTTGGCTACCAAAATAATCCAGGAATTTAAAAAAAATAATCTATGACTAATAAATGCGAGGAAACTCAACAAGGATTTACGAAAAGAGAACGTAACAAACCAAATAAAAATTAAAATATAATATAACTGTGTCGATACGATATGATTGTAGGCGCTAACCTGTTTTCTTGCGAGGCTCCGAACCAGTGTCACTGCCGGTGCCACGTGGCAAGAACACACCGGTTCCGCCCGACCCGGGTCTCGAACCCGACCCATCAAGGAACACCGCTTTCAAACCCGACCCGTTTCGCTGGTAGTTCCCGACGTATCCGGTGCTCTTCGTTGCCCTCCCTCTGTTCCCGTAAAGGGCGTCGTTTCTGTTCTGTTGTTCTCGCTTCTTCTTCTTCTTCTCCCTCTCTTCTTTGATCTTGCGAAACTGCAGAATCATTGACAAGGAAATGGATTCAACGGCTGAGATGAGATTATACCCACGGCATGGATAGATCTCGACCGTTCGAGGAGAGATCTCACGTTTGATTGAGCCGATCTGATCTGTTCGTCGATTAGGGCTTGTTTCGATGGGTAAGGAATCACAAATGGATTCATCTCGTCCTTTGCCTTCATCTTCTCGAACTTCTCCGCCGCCTGCGTTAACGGCGGCGACGGTTCTCGCGACGGGCCTGCCGGAGCAAAAGCCGAACGGCGACCATAGCGTTGATTGTGGCGAACCAGAGCCTCCCCATGACTGATCGAAACGTTTCAAATAACAGAAAAACGAAAGGAAATCAGTGGTTTTAACGCGAACCCATGTTCTCAGAATCGAAAAGGATATGGAGTTTGTGGAGATTTGATCTGTGGGAAACCAAAGTTGGCACCTTTTCGTGTTTATCTTCGTCCTGAAGCATGTAGTTGGCCATCTGGCGAGTCAACTCGGCAACGTACTCGTCGTCGTCCTTCTTCTCCGTCCGGTATGACCCGGAAGGGGAACCGGGTTCGGATCCGTAGTTGTTCCAGCCAGTGGCTGAAGAACCAACAGAGAGAGAGAGGGAATCTGTGTCCAGTTCATCAGCCTCCATTTGTCGGTGAAAGAAAAGAAAGAGGTCTCGGGTCTCTCACTGGCTTTAAACCTGTACTGTTTTTGTTCCCTATGTCGGCAACTACTTATAATGGTTTTCAGGGTTCCATGTGTATGTATATATGTGGGGTTACTACGAAAGATATGTGTAGAGACAAAGCGATAGAAGGAAGAGAGAGATATAGAAACAGAGCAAACCAGACACACAAGAAGCGACAGGACCAAGCTCACAGAGAGAGAGAGAGAGAGAGAGAGAGAGAGAGAGAACACGGTTGAGTTAGAGATGAATCAGATGGCAAGAGATTGAAGAAAGGAGCGTTTAGATATAAGAGAGAGAGAGAGAGAGAGAGAGAGAGAGAGAGAGAGAGAGAGAGAGGTTTGAGCAGTCTAAATGGACAGCTAATACAGTTTATACGTTACAAAAGAAATCACCTGCCAACTGTTGCGAAGATGGTCTACCTTCTTCAACTCCAGCCCCCCTCTCCTCCTTTTATTATTATATTATTTTTTATTCTTTACAATTTTTTATTTCCTTTTTCAAAGAAATCAAATCAACTACCTTAACAACCGCCTCTCTTTCTACATTTAATTTTTCTACCACTCAGTATTAGACTTGTTAGCTATAATATCCAAATGCTATAACAGTAATTCCTTATCCATATATATATATATACATACATATATATAATTCTCACATGATTTTGATTATCAAATCAATTATGTCAACTTATCTTTTTCAGTTGTGGAGATGTTTTCGTTATTCTTCAAACAAAAGATTTCTAGATTTCCTTAGATTTACAAACTAAACTTTTCTCTGTTACAAAAGAACTCCAAATTTCCATCTGTTATATATATATATATATATAATAAATTGTTGGCGATGTTGTTCACGTTTTTAAAAAAACGAAGTTTCATTTCGAAGCTAGAAATCCGTACCCAACCAATCTTTAGGTGACATATATCCCCAAACCTTTCTATAAAAAAAAATTGAAATTTAGTAGGTAAGAAATCTGATTTCTGTAATCAATAAATTAAAATAATTATATATTTCATATAAAGATTGATAATTCCATGGTTTTTCTTTGTCAGTTTAACCATAATTTTCCAATTTTAGTTATATGGAGATCACGTCTATCTATCTATCTATCTATATATATATATAGATGCAAGAAATATAAATTAAAAAAACTTAAATTTAGCCAGACAGAAGTGGACAAATGCGGCGCTACACATATTAAACAAATATAAATTCTTTTTGTTCATATTAACATATATGATTGCTCGTTAATCAACATCACGCATACGCTTTCCACAGTATTTCCTATAACAAATAAAATGTGTGCGTTTGTGCGTGTGTATATACACACACACATACGTATAACAAATGCAGTGCTATACATATGAAACAAATTAATATACTTTTGTGTGTGTGTATATATATATATATGAGATCGCGATGAATGTGGAATAGGGAGACATAGATATAATATAATGTTTGGAGCATCAAACTGACTCCATGATTTGGTGGATTAGAAAGACGTGCCAAGTTGTTTTATTTAATAAGAAAATGTTGGATTTGAAGTATGATGCATAATTTGTTTTAAATACAATGTTAGAATATAGGGCCAACTGCTGTGCCCACCACCACCACCACCTTTTCCGTGGATTTTTAACATTACGTGAAGTCCATTTCTTTTGACATGTAACCAAAGTATACACATTAATTTCTTCTATATATCTACTATGGTACTTTGATTTCAAATTGCAAGTAACTAAACTTATCTTTATATTTTTCTTTTTGCAAATATGCCGATGAGTTGATGAATCTAACATATAAAATAATTCCCAAGAGGAAATATTTCTGCAAAAACATATGATCAAGTGAAAATAGATATCCAACCGGTGAAATGAGGACGCAAAACGTCTGTTCTCCGAGTTCGAACCCCAAGTTGGGGAGAAAGCGTATAATTCAAATCACATGGCTGGTTTCCGATCCCGGGATTAGTTTGGGCCTCGGCCCAATAAATCCGGTTACCAAAAAAAAAGGTGAAAATATATAGATGATTCATTTTGACGTCCGTTTCCACCCGGATTTTTCGGTTTTTTAAAAGATTTACTTGGGTCAAAATGGCCGGTGAATTTTGTGATTATAAAAAAACTAAGGAATTAAATATATAGATGATAATAATAATATTTAAAATTTTAAAAATAATAAAATCATAAGTTAAAAAAGACTATTTTTTTGCGGCTTCCGAGTCAACTCATTACTCGTCGAGTTGGCTCAGTAGAAAGCATTCTATTCAGCAGCAGGTTTCTCATCCTGCTCAAGCCAATGTCTCCAGAGATTAGAATGTGTGGCATATAACAAAACCCTAATTTCTTTCAAACCACAAGATTAGGTCACTAGACAGAAACGAACTTTGAAAATTTCAAATCAAAAGAGCACGTGATAACGATAAAATAAAACAAGCTTATTTCCAAGAGTGATATAAGAAGACGTCATGCATGTGAAGAAGTTAACCAGATTCTAATTTGGTGGCGCCCTTCGCATAGATAACGATGGGGCTTCTCACCGTATGCGTACCGTCCGACCAGACCAGAGTTGCAGACATGGGTTCCAATGGCTTAAGGGCTTTGCCTGAAACCGTCACTGTAAAAGACTTCTTCTCGTACATTGACTTCATAGACAGAGCATCCGGTTCGACCTTGACATCGATCTTGGAAGAGCCCGCTCCTTCGACAACATTCGCTTTGTACGTTGAGTTCGCCATACCCACGTTTGTGACAGTTCTTACGAATGTCAAGTTGAACTCCGTCTGCGACGAAACCGCAGCTGCCATGGAAGGGTAGTTGAGGTTTCTGGGCAATGTGTCAGCCTGTTCTTTGGTGCAAGTGCTGTTGTCTCCAGAGATGAGTCTGAGCGACGTCGTTGTGAAGTTCAATGCGCATAGAAGCGCTATGTGGTCGGCTTTAGTGGATTCGTAAACGAGTCCCGGGTCAGCAGCTGCTGTTGGTTTCAAATGGCCGGATCCAAAGGCGAACACAGATTCCGCGTCTTCGGTAGCGTTCATTGGCCAAGCTGCAAGATCAACAAACGCATGAACTTGATTAGGGCTCCTTCTAAAAACAAACATTGAATGAATCGATAGGAATTGAGTTTTGCTCGATGTTCTACCGGTTGTCATGATGGAGGATTTGATCATGGATGGAGACCAGTCAGGGTGAAATGTTTTCAGATACGCTGCTGCACCTGCAACATGCGGACAAGACATGGATGTTCCGGAAAGAACAACATACTCCGCACGTCTGTTGTCGTGTGCAGCATCCCCTGACGGAGAAGCGTCGAGCGAGTAAGCAGCCAAGATTTCAATTCCCGGTGCTGTCACGTCCGGCTGCAGTTCCATATATAAACAAACCTCTCTCAAAGCGACAAACAAAATGGAACAACGAAGAAAGATGAAGCAAATCAGCTACATACATACATACATACATACATACATACATACATACATACATACATACATACATACATACATACATACATACATACATACATACATACATACATACATACATTCATACCTTCAAGATATCCGGAATGATAGTGTTCGGACCACGAGATGAAAACGAAGCCACGACCGGAGCTGTCTCGTTCATACTCGTGTCACTTTTCAGGATAGAAACTTTCGGATCTCTGTAGGCTCAAAATTTGGAACCAAGGTTTATGTGCTTATAAGAAATTGAAAATAGACGATTCAGAGAGAAAATAAATGGACATACTCTGTGGAGGTCACGTAAGAGACGACAGTTTCATATTGGTCTTCGGACAAGGCAGCGACGGGAGAAGAGAATACATTGGAGACATCTGATCTGTCATTCTTCACAATGGTTCCGACAGCTCCGGCCCATTCAGCCTCGTGGCTGCCAAGTGGAGTATCACACAACACAATCTTTCCCTTAACCAGTTTCTTGTCCAGACATCCCGACGAGCAAATCCTGAAATTTTCAACGCAGAGCAATTTGGTTGTTGCAGACAAGAACATGGCACAATGTTTCTTGGATCAGAAGTTACCTGGCAGACCCTTCGTCGCACCTACTTGAAGCAGATTTTCCGTACACCAGATCGTACTTTCCTCCCTTCAGATCATACGAATTCACTGATCTTCCCTGTTTCAGACAAAAGGTTGAGGATCAGGAGGAAGAACAAACACAAAAACAATGATTCGAAACGAGGGAACAACAGATTTCTTGACTCTTACGACAACTATCTTTTCATTTCCAAGAACAACTTTGGTGAAAAACGCACGATTAGTGTTACTCGCGGATACAGAGAGAATCCATGGCGCGACACTGGAGACTGTACTCGTTGAAGGACCGTTGTTCCCGGCCGAATTCACAGTCAGAATCCCTTTAGCCATTGCGTGGAATGCTCCGATCGCTATAGGATCTTGCTCAAACCTTGCCGCTAAATCTGCTCCCGCGGAGATGGTGATGACATCGACGCCGTCGGCGATTGCGTCGTCAAACGCTGAAAGCAACCGGTCAGAGAAGCAACCGCCCGGATCGCAGACTTTGTAGGCCGCGATTCTTGCAGCAGGAACGCCCCCTCTCGCGGTTCCGAGGCCGAGACCGTAGAAACTGGCGTCCTTAACGCTGTTTCCAGCGGCAGTCGATGATGTGTGAGTGCCGTGACCAATGTGGTCCCTCGCTGACTGCGGTGTTCCAATGATTCCGCCATTACGGGTGTAGTATCGGGCTCCGATGATCTTGCTGTTGACGCGCATAGCAAAGGAAAATCAACTCAAGAACTCATAAATTTCTCTTATGGGTTTTAATGTTTTGTATTGGTACCCAAAATTTCACAATAAAATATCCTGAACGTCAGGTTTTCAACTATTGGTAAACATGAATGACTAATTACACTCGAATAAGTACATCATCTCGAGCTTTATACAATATTGAGATGGATGTCTTATGAAGGGAGAAAAAAGAAACGAAGAGAGAGAGAGAGATTAGGGTTTTTATATATACTTGTTGCAGGTGAAGTTTTGGCCACCGTCGCACTCGCCTTTCCATTTCTTGGGAGGAGGGCCGAAGCCATTGTCGTCGAAACTGGCAGATTCAGGCCAGATTCCGCTGTCGATGACACCGACGATTATATCACTCTCGAGATTAGGAACGCGCTTCGTTTTGTTTTCTTTGAACCCCATGAAGTCCCATGATGCTGTCGTTTGGAGCTGCAGTTTCCTGCTTGGAAACACAGACACCACTCCTTCCATATCTACATCCATACATACATAAACATATATGCCCCATGAACATGCATTCAGAATAATGAACAATCATCATGCAACAGCAACGGTCGATATCAAGAAATTATGTTTTTGTAGTAAGCCATATTCTAAAGTGAAATATTATATATATATATACAATGTAGAATATCTATCACTCACTGGCCACTCTTTCTCTTTCGGAATCAGAGAGTGTAGCTGCAAACCCATTGAAACTCCTCCTGTAACTTCTCACCAAGCGATTCTCGATCGAACTTTAAAAGATTGAACGGAACTTATCAATGCAAGCAATGTGTGTATATATATATATATATATATACGCGTGATAGTGTCGTATAAAATCACAGAACATGGAACTCATCGACATATAGAGATCTGAAACCCCACCTCTCTCCAGTGACCTCTCGGAGGATATTAATGTGTTGGGAAGAAGGCATGTACCCCGCGTTCGATGGTACTGCGCCCATATACACTATATATACCTTCATCACCATCACCATCATCATTATCATCATCATCATGTCATGATTGAAAGGTAAGTGAGTGAAAACAAGATCACCATAAGCAAGAGTAAATGTATAAAATTACCTGTTTGTCTTCATCTTGGTGGGATGCAGAAACAGACACGACAAGAAGACATAACAAGAGGCAAGAGACAAGAACAGGCTTCGCCATTTCTATGGTTACAAGCAAAGGAACACTAAACGACACTTATAGGGAGAAAAACATGACCTCAACCGATGCCCTCCTGATATTCTTCCTAATCAGGAGGACAAGAAAGGAAATAAAAAAAAATCTTATATCCTAAATTACAATATTTAAACACATTTAGCATATAATCACAGAACAGTAATATAGTATCATTTCGTTACCAAAAAAAAAATGTAATATCATTTTATTATGAATGTGGAATGGAATCGAATCACATCACTAAATCGAAGCCTGCGTATAATTAACACATGGAAATGTGCTTTTTTCCCCATGAAAAAAAAGATATATGAAATATAATTAAATATTATCTTCTTAAAAAAACCCAAACACCAAATTTAAAAAAATCCTTAACCCAACTTGTTAAAAAACGAGTCGGCTCACGATTTGCATCCATGTGAGTTGGATTTCGAATTGCAACTAGACTTAGCTTATTATATTATATATATATATTTCTTTTGTAAATATGTAGATGGGTTGATGATATATAATATTGTTACGTCACCATGCAAGAATCAAAGATTAAAACATTACAAAAGATTTTGTGGGTCCAAGCTTTCTTCCCGTTCCAAACACCATAAATAGAGAGAAGATCCAATTCTAGCAATGCTTCATCTAACGGTATGGAGACCATCAGAAGAGAGGGGCGGCGAAAATAACAATGGGACTTCTCACTGTATGGGAGCCATCCGACCAGACCAGAGTTGCGGACGCTGGTTCCGATGCCAAGGGGGCTTCTCCTGAAACTGTCACTGTAAAAGACTTCTTCTCGTACACTGACTTCATAGACAGAACATCTGGTTCAACCTTGACATCGATCTTGGAAGAGCCCGCTCCTTTGACAACCTCCGCTTTGTACGTTGAGTTCGCCATACCGACGTTTGTGACAGTTCTTACAAATGTCACGTTGAACGCCCCCTGCGATGAAATTGCAGCTGCCATGGAGGGGTAGTTGAGGTTTCGGGGCAATGTGTCGGCCTGTTCTTTGGTGCAAGTGCTGTTGTCTCCAGAGATGAGTCTGAGCGACGTGGTTGTTAAGTTCAATGCGCATAGAAGCGCTATGTGATCGGCTTTCGTGGCTTCGTAAACGAGTCCCGGGTCAGTAGCTGCTATTGGATTCAAATGGCCAGATCCATAGGCGAACTCGGATCCCGCGGCGCCCTCAGTAGCGTTCATTGGCCAAGCTGCAAGATCAACAAGGCATAGGGTTACAATCTATATATGTATGGTTTATGCTGATTTGATTGAACAAACGATGAATGAATCTATACATATAGAGTTTTGCTCGATGTTCTGATCACTTTACCGGTTGTCATGATGGCGGATTTGATCATGGACGGAGACCAGTCAGGGTGAAACGTTTTCAGATACGCGGCTGCACCTGCGACATGCGGACAAGACATGGATGTTCCAGAAACAACAGAATACTTTGCACGTCTGGTGTCGCGTTCAGCCCCTGACGGAGAAACGTCGAGAGAGTAAGCAGCCAAGATTTCAACTCCCGGTGCTGTCACGTCCGGCTGTATATGCAGTTCCATAAGCGAAATCTCTCTCAGAACAACAAACAAAATGAAACAACAAGGAAATACGCGGAGACGAGCAAAACAGATACGTATGTATACACACATATATATATATATACCTTCAAGATATCCGGAATGAGAGTGTTTGGACCACGAGAAGAAAATGAAACCACGACTGGAGCTGTCTCCTTCATACTCACGTCACTTTTCAGGATAGATACTTTCGGATCTCTGTAGAAAGGTTCGGAATTTGGAAAAATGCTAAGATTAACGATTGAAACATAGACTATCCGAGAGAGAACGGACATACTTTGTGGAGATCACGTAAGAAACGGCTGTTTCATATTGGTCTTCGGACAAAGCAGCGGCAGGAAAAGAGTATACGGTGGAGAAATCTAATTTCGCGGTACCCTTCACAATGGTTCCGACAGCTCCGGCCCTTTCAGCCACGAGGATGTCGCTTGAAGAATTACACAGCACGATCTTTCCCTTCACCAGTTTCTCGTCCAAACATCCGGGCAAGCAATGCCTGAAATATTCAACGTTCATTAGCCACATTGCAGCAAAATGGCTTGTTTCAGACATGACACGATGTTTCTTGGAACCGAAGTTAATTACTGGGCAAACTCTTCGTCGCATGTACTTGAAGCAGATTTTCCGTACAGCAGATCATACTTTACTCCGTTTAGATCAAACGGATTCACCGATCTTCCCTGTTTTGTGGAAAAAAAGTCAGAGATCAAACGAAAGATGGAACACCAAAAAACAAATTTCTTGACACTTACAACGATTGTCTTGCCATCTCCAAGAACAACTTTGGTGAGAAAGGCACGATTAGTGTTACTTGCGGCCACAGAGAGAATCCAAGGCGCGGCACTCGAGACTGTGCCCGGTGAAGGACCGCTGTTTCCTGCCGAATTCACAGTCAGAATCCCTTTAGCCATTGCGTGGAATGCTCCGATCGCTATAGGGTCTTGCTCGAACGTTGTCGGCGGGCCTCCTATGGAGATGGTGATGACATCGACTCCGTCCGCGATTGCATCGTCAAACGCGGAAAGCAACTGGTCAGAGGAGCAGCTCGGATCGCAGACTTTGTAAGCCGCGATTCTTGCTGCAGGAACGGCCCCTCTCGCGGTTCCAAGGCCGAGGCCATAGAAACTCACGTCTTCAACACTGTTTCCGGCGGCCGTCGATGCTGTATGAGAGCCGTGACCAATGCGGTCCCTCGCTGACTCCGGAGTTCCTGCAAATACGTCACTACTGTTGTAGTACCGAGCCCCGATGATCTTGCTGCAAGAATTCACAAATTTATCTTAAGGGTTTTAATGTTTTAATCCACAGGACTAAGGAACGAACCCAAGATTTCATTGCGCGGAGAGTTAAAGAGTGACAGAGAGAGAGAGAGAGAGAGATTAGGGTTTATACTTGTTGCAAGAATTCACAAATTTCTCTTAAGGGTTTTAATATCGAGATGGATATCTTATGAAGGGAGAAAAAAAATCGAAAAGAGAGAGAGAGAGATTAGGGTTTCTACTTGTTGCAGGTGAAGTTTTTGCCTCCGTCACACTCGCCTTTCCATTTCTTTGGAGGAGGACCGAAGCCATTGTCGTCGAAACTGGCAGATTCAGGCCAGATTCCGCTGTCGATGACACCGACGATTATATCACTCTCGAGATTCGGAACACGCTTCGTTTTGTTCTCCTTGAACCCCATGAAGTCCCATGATGCCGTCGTTTGGAGCTGCAGTTTCCTGTTTGGAAACACAGACACCACTCCTTCCATATCTACATCCATACATACATAAACATATATGCCCCATGAACATACATTTCGAATAATGTACAATCATCATGCAACAGCTACGGTCAATATGAAGAAATTATGTTTTTGTCGTAAGCCATATATATTCTAAAGTGAAATATTATATATATATATACAATCATGTGCAATTTCTATCACTCACTGGCCACTCTTTCTCTTTCAGAATCAGAGAGTGTAGCTGCAAACCCATTGAAACTCCTCCTGTAACTTCTCACCAAGCGATTCTCGATCGAACTGTATTCATACAATTAATAAAAGATTGAACGGGATGTGTGTATATATACGTGTGTATGCGTGAGAGTGTCGTATAAAACCACAGAACATGGAAGCCATCATCATATATATATATATATATATATAGAACCTGAAAACCACACCTCTCTCCGGTGACCTCTTGAAGGATATTAATGTGTTGGGACGTAGTCATGTACTCCGCATTCGATGGAATCGCACCCATATACACGATATATACCTTCATCACCATCATCATCATCATCATCATCATGTCATGATTGAAAGGTAAGTGAACAAAAACAAGATCGTTACTTACAAACAAGAGTTCAGAATATAATCGAATTACCTGTTTGTCTTCATCTTGGTTGGATGCTGAAACAGACAAGAGAAGAAGACACAGCAAGAGGAAGGAGACAAGAACAGGCTTCGCCATTTTTATCGTTACAAATATTTTTCAAGGAACATTACACGACACTTATAGGGAGAAAAACAAGACATAAACCGAAGCCCTCTGCAGATTTTCTTCCTAATAAGGAAGGCAATAAAGGAAATAAATCTTTACCACAAATAATATGTCCTAAAAAAATATGATTTTTAAATACATTTAGCATATACATACCACATGAAAACGTGTTTTTTCCATGAAGAAAAAAGAAATGAAATACAATTACTTAAGATAAACCCAAACGTCATTTGGAATTTGAACTTGAATATATATAAATGAGAATTTATAGAAAAAATCCAAAAAAAAAAAAACATTAATTAAACCTTCCAATTTAAACAAAACAATCACTAAACTTTTTTTCCAAATAAATATTAAACTTTTTAAGTTTGCAAAAAACATACATCAATTTTTATAATTACAGATAATTTTTTTTGAATCACTTAAAAAGTTTAATATTTTTTAAAAAATAGGAGAGAATTTCATGTATTTTTATTAGATGGCTTAAAAAGTTTTATATTTTTTAAACTCATTTATAAAGTTTAATGTTTATTTAATAAAAAAAGTTTTGTGTTTTTTTTAAATTGAATTTTTTTTTGACAAAATTGGAAAATCATATTTTTTTTTGGATTTTCTCTATGTAGTAGGAATAATAATAAACAAAAATACGTACTAAAAGAGGGTTCGAACTATAAGTTAGAAAGCTTCACAATCCGTTCGTGAACTGTCTTGTGGTTCTGTTTTTTGAATGCATTAAAAAACACCTTAACCCAAATTGTTAAAAACGTGTCGGCTCACAATATCTACTTCAGTTGGATTTCGAATTGCGAGTAACTAAACCATAGCTTCTTTTAATTATATATATATATATTTCTTTTCTAAATATGCAGACGGGTTTATGATATGTAATATTGTTGTTATGTCACCATGAAAGGATCAATTATTAAACATTACAACAGATTTTGTGGGTCCAAGCTTTCTCCAGTTCCAAACATATCATGCAAGATAGAGAAGATGCAATTCTAGCAACGTGTCTTCTCACAGTATGCAGACCATTAGAAGAGACGAGCGGCGTAAATAACAATGGGACTTCTCACTGTATGGGAAACATCCGACCAGACCAGAGTTGCAGACACGGGTTCCGATCCCTCGGGTGATTCTCCTGAAACTGTCACTGTAAAAGACTTCTTCTCGTACACTGACTTCATAGACAGAACATCTGGTTCAACCTTGACATCGATCTTGGAAGAGACCGCTCCTTTGACAACCTCCGCTTTGTACGTTGAGTTCACCATACCGACATTTGTGACAGTTCTGACAAATGTCACGTTGAAGGCCTTCCGCGACGAAACTGCAGCTGCCATGGAAGGGTAGTTGAGGTTTCTGGGCAATGTATCGGCTTTTTCTTTTGTGCGGTGCAAGTGCTATTGTCTCCAGAGATGAGTCTAAGCGACGTTGTTGTGAAGTTCAATGCGCATAGAAGCGCTATGTGGTCGGCTTTAGTGGATTCGTAAACGAGTCCCGGGTGAAGAGCTGATAATGGATTCAAATGTCCAGCTCCAAAGCCGAATTCGGATCCCACTGCGCTGTCAGTAGAGTTCATTGGCCAAGCTGCAAGATCAACAATACATGAACTTAGGGTTACAATCTACATATCTGATTTATGCGGATTTGATTGAACAAACGATGAATGAATCTATACATATAGAGTTTTGCTCTGATGTTATAATTGCTTACTCGTTGTCATGATGGCGGATTTGATCATGGACGGAGACCAGTTAGGGTGAAACGTCTTCAGATACGCGGCTGCACCTGCAACATGCGGACAAGACATGGATGTTCCAGAAAGAACAGAATACTTTGCACGTCTGGTGTCGTGTTCAGCCGCTGACGGAGAAGCGTCGAGCGAGTAAGCAGCCAAGATTTCAACTCCCGGTGCTGTCAGGTCGGGCTGCGGTTCCATAAGCAAAACTCTCTCTCAGAACAACAAACAAAATGAAACAAAGACGATGAGATGAGCAAATCAGATACATATATATATATATACACCTTCAAGATATCCGGAATGATAGTGTTTGGACCACGAGAAGAAAACGAAGCCACTACTGGAGCTGTTTCCTTCATACTCGCGTCACTTTTCAGGATAGACACTTTCGGGTCTCTGTAGGTTCAAAATTTGGAACCAAGGTTTATGTGCTTATAAGAAATTGAAAATAGACGATTCAGAGAGAAAATAAATGGACATACTCTGTGGAGGTCACGTAAGAAACGACAGTTTCATATTGATCTTCGAACAAGGCAGCGACGGGAGAAGAGAATACAAAGGAGACATCTGATTTCGCGGTTTTCACAATGGTTCCGACAGCTCCGGCCATCTCAGCCTCGACGATGCCTCTTGAAGAATCACACAACACAATCTTTCCATTCACCAGTTCACTGTCCAAACATCCCGATGAGCAAAACCTGACATTTCAAAGTTCGTTGACCGGTGAGCAATCAATGAGTTTGTTTTAGACATTACACGATGTTTCTTGGAACAGAAATTACCTGGCAGAATCTTCGTCACATATACGTGAAGCAGATTTTCCGTACACCAGATCATACCTTTTTCCCTTTAGATCAAACGAATTCACTGATCTTCCCTGTTTCAGACAAAGAGTCGAGAAAAAAATCAGCAATCAAACGGAGGAACAGAAACAAGAAAAACAGATTTCTTGATACTTACGACAATTGTCTTGCCATCTCCAAGGATAACTTTGGTAAAAAACGCACGATTAGAATTACTCGCGGCCACAGAGAGAATCCATGGCGCGACACTCGAGGTTGTGCCCGGTGATGGACCGCTGTTCCCAGCTGAATTCACAGTCAGAATCCCTTTAGCCATTGCGTGGAAAGCTCCGATCGCTAAAGTATCCTGCTCTAACCTTGCCGGGGTATCTCCTCCAATGGAGATGGTAATGATATCAACCCCGTCGGCGATTGCGTCATCAAACGCTGAAAGCAACCCGTCAGAGGAGCAACCACCCGGATCGCAGACTTTGTAAGCCGCGATTCTTGCTGCAGGAACGCCCCCTCTCGCGGTTCCGAGGCCGAGGCCATAGAAACTCGCGTCTTCAACGCTGTTTCCAGCAGCCGTGGATGCTGTATGAGAGCCGTGACCAATGTGGTCCCTCGCTGACTCCGGAGTTCCTGAAAATCCGCCACTACTGGTGTAGTACCGAGCCCCAATGATCTTGCTGCAAGAATTCACAAATTTCTCGTAAGGGTTTTAATGTTTTGTATAGGTTAATCCACAGGACCAAGGAACGAACCCAAGATTTCATTGCGTGGAGAGTGAGTGAGAGATATTAGGGTTTATACTTGTTGCAGGTGAAGTTTTTGCCTCCGGCGCATTCACCTTTCCATTTCGAAGGCGCAGGACCAAAGCCATTGTCGTCAAAACTGGCAGATTCAGGCCAGATTCCACTGTCGATGACACCGACGATTATATCACTCTCGAGATTAGGAACACGCTTCGTTTTGTTTTCTTTGAACCCCATGAAGTCCCATGATGCTGTCGTTTGGAGCTGCAGTTTCCTGCTTGGAAACACAGACACCACTCCTTCCATATCTACATCCATACATACATACAAATATATGCCCCATGAACATGCATTCAAAATAATGTACAATCATCATGTAACGGTCGATATGAAGAAATTATGTTTTTGTCGAAAGCCATTGTCGAAAGCCAATGTGGAATATCTATCACTCACTGGCCACTCTTTCTCTTTCAGAATCAGAGAGTGTAGCTGCAAACCCATTGAAACTCCTCCTGTAACTTCTCACCAAGCGATTCTCGATCGAACTGTATTCATACAATTAATAAAAGATTGAACGGGATGTGTGTATATATACGTGTGTATGCGTGAGAGTGTCGTATAAAACCACAGAACATGGAAGCCATCATCATATATATATATATATATATATATATAGAACCTGAAAACCACACCTCTCTCCGGTGACCTCTTGAAGGATATTAATGTGTTGGGACGTAGGCATGTACTCCGCATTCGATGGAATCGCACCCATATACACGATATATACCTTCATCACCATCATCATCATCATCATGTCATGATTGAAAGGTAAGTGAACAAAAACAAGATCACCATAAGCAAGAGTGTATATATATGTATAATGAAATTACCTGTCTGTCTTCATCTTGGTGGGATGCAGAAACAGACAAGACAAGAAGACATAACAAGAGGCAATAGACAAGAACAGGCTTCGCCATTTTTACGGTTACAAATATTTTTAAAGAAACATTAAACGATACTTATAGGGAGAGAAACATGACCTAAACCGAAGCATCTTCTTCCTAATCAAGAAGACAAGAAATGAAATAAAAAAAAAATCTTTAACATAAGTAATATATCCTAAAATACAATCTCTAAACACATTTTGCATACATAAATATATATGATTCCCCAGAACAATAATATATGCAACACTTTTTGGGAATGTTGAATGAAATCACATCCGTAAACGGACGCCTATATGGAAATATGTTTTTATTGACCATTCAGGAAGATATGGAAATGTTATTATAGCTGCTTAATCAACTCTCCCTATAGTATCCATCAAATGAAGACACGAAATCAATTTTATAATCATATTGTATCTGCCATCTGGCTCCTTTTAAAGGTGAATCACAATGTTATCACGAAAATTAACAATACCTTATTTTCGACGTCTAATTGCCATTATATATGATCCTAATTTGATCGCAAATTCATAAAATTATTTTCAAAAACTAAGCAAAAATTCTATGTAGATCAAATTGCCATAAAGGCTCGAACAAGTAGATAAAACTTGTTTCTTTATTTAAATACCTTAACTACTTGGATATCTTTTTATATAAATATATAAAAGACCAACCCAGATCGTATCCCCGTCAAGTGGGGGTTGGGGAAGGAAATATATCAGACCACCTTACCCCTACATTTTAATGTAGAAAGATGGATTCAAATCCGTAACCTCAGACCCCACGGTAAATGGTTTTAACGTTGAGCCAAATCGACCCTTCTTTATAAATATATAGATTTCCAAAATATTATTTGGGATTCTAATGAAGTAAAAGTAATGGGAATCCTAATCTCGAATTCTCATTAATATTTTAATTTTTTAAATTTTTTTAAATTTTAAGTAAATTGTTTTAATTAGTTGATGTATTTAATATTTATAAAGGAAAAAATAAATATATTTATTTGGAAGTGTTGTTTTTACAATATTTAGCTTGTTGTCTTTGGCCTACACATTTACAGCAAAATCTAATCCTTGATGGCATTTCTATTTAAGACTCTTGTTAGATATTCATTATCCTGTGTCAACGGACTCAACTCGCAAGTTGGTTCATTATCGACTCGTATTTTAGTAAATCGAGCCAACATTTTTCAAGGCTCGTTTCAAAACAAACCTAACGAACCAATTCGCCACAGCTCACAAGCTTGACAAACCACGGACTGACTCGCAAATTGAGATGTTTTTTTTTTTAAATATTTATATTATTTATATTTTTATTTATATTTTTTATATAATTTATAAAAAAATTAATACTTAATTTAATTATTGATTATATATGTATAATTTTTTTATATACTTAAGTTTGATATTTTTATATTTAAATTTCATATTACAATATCATTTTATTTGATATTTTTGATAATATAAATAAAAATATATTTGTTTTTAACTCGCAAACCAGCTTGTTTAGCTCGGAAAATTGGCGAACCGAGTTGCCAAGTTTTTTCTGGCTTTTTTTTCTTATTGATTATATATGTATAATTTTTTTATATACTTAAGTTTGATATTTTTATATTTAAATTTCATATTACAATATCATTTTATTTGATATTTTTGATAATATAAATAAAAATATATTTGTTTTTAACTCGCAAACCAGCTTGTTTAGCTCGGAAAATTGGCGAACCGAGTTGCCAAGTTTTTTCTGGCTTGTTTAGCTGAACTCAAAACGAGCTGGCTCGTCTCGAGCTTGGCTCGTTTGACACCCCTAATCCTATTAAATGAGGCCAATGCTGCAATGTAAACATGTGTAACCATGATATTAGACAAATACGAGACGAAGATTTTAAACCCAATAATCTACAAACTCAATTAAAATGGTATATAAATAAATAAAAAAACTATAAACATGCGCTCTATATAACTTACAAATATCAAATGTTAAACCTTGATATATAGGTAAGAAAACAGAAAGCATTATGAATATAAAGAGATGGTCAATGGCAAAAGAACAGTAACCCTAATACACACAATTTGAGCCTGAAGCAGGTTTCTTTACATAGCAACATGAGTCTAACAAGCTCCATGGATTACATTCAAAAGTCCAAGCTAAAGAAACTATGTCATCACCCAGAGAGAAAAAAAACTAAGGGCCTTACCTTCGATATCTTCAAGTATGGAGATAGTTAGCCGCCATCATCAGCTCCAGAGTTAATTCAGGTTCGATGTGGAACTCGGAAACTTTGCCTCTGCGAAAGAGGAACACTTATGATAAAATAGTCATGAAGGATTATAAAAAAAGGTTGTACAGAGACAGAAGGGGATGAACAGAACAGAAGGATTCAATCTTTGTTTTCACCCAAACACCAGGTAATATAACCCAATCAGTATATTGGTCAGGATGAATTAGTAGAGTCCAAAAGAGGGACAATGCAAGCTGTGAAACCAAGTAACTGAGAAATAAATTGACTCTTGTCCAATATGACATAAAAGATGATACCCACTTTTGGATGAGGCAGAGGATACTGAACATTTGAAGTTGAATACCGATGAACATGATGCTCATGAAAAGCAGTACTAACGTATGCAAGAGAGAAAGCGCTAGCAAGAAATATTAAACAGGAACGGATCTCCTCGACTCAAGACCTTTAACAATGAAAATTCCTCTACCGATTTATCCTATAATAACAACACTTGGATAACTTCAGAAGATTATAAGTACTGAAACGAAACTAGGTTCTTCCCTGAGTCGAATAGATCAAAGAGAAGCAGCAATCACATGTTCTTGGAAATCAAAATGGAACCAGAAAGAGTATAGTCACAAGGAAATGGACCTGGAGTATTGAAGAGACCAATAGAAGTACTGGCATATCTTCTCAAGAATGGTGGTGCTTATATCAGGGAAAGTCACCACTCCAAGCTGTGACTCGGCGAAACCACCTGGCACCAAAACCAGACATCTTCATTTCCATGTCGTAATTTCTGCACAAAAGATCTCATTCTATGTACCGAACGACGTGAAGTTACAGGAACACATTTCGAATCAGTTTCTCGATCACCGCTAATCCTGAGAAGCCCAATAACGAAACCCTAAAGCTTTCGACTTGTTTCTTCCGTGAAATTGAGCAATTCATCCATCGCATCAAATTACAAGCTGAGTTCAATTTCTGGGTGAAATTACTTCATCTCGAGATAACATCTCATCCGACTGATCCCGGATCATAAATAGGAAAGATCAAGAAACCAGAGGCACGGATCAAGAAGAAAAGACCCTACAACCGCAAAAGAAGGAGAGAAAACCTGGAGAAGTAAGCATGTTACGAATGGTCTGAGAAACCATGGCGGCCTCTCTGTCAATGATGAACTCGAATCCCTCTGCGCTTATCAGTTTCACCGTTTCTTCCTTCTCCATCTTCGTCCTCCCTCTCGATCTCTCTCTCTCCCTCCCAAATTCAGTTTCGTGTGTTCCCCACTCGACCCAACTGTTAATAGGCCTCAATTGGACCCGGGTCAAGTTCGACCCGATATCAAATGGGCTTGAAGGCCCAATATGATTCATTCATAAAAAGAAATTATAAAAGATGAATTTACTATATGCTCTTAATTTTATTTTTATTTTGACAAATTCAATCGTTCTTGACGCCCACTTATAAACACGAAATTAGGTCTGTAATCAGTTTAACATATGCTCTGTAATATAGAATATCAAATTGTACAACCCCCCAACATGACTCCCACTTATGCAATCAAAATCAATACATTAAAATAATTAGCAGACTAGACTATCATGAAATGATCATATCTTTTTCATTTTCTCATCTCTGATGATTAAATAATCAGTTCGTTTTGCAAGTTTTATGACGTGGCACATAATGATTGGTGCCTTATTATGGTGACAACATAGGCCCCGTAGCATCTGATTATAGCTTAATATTAGTCTATTAGATTACGATAATACAATACACCTCGAAGTTGAACATCATCTTACTTTTCACAGCGTTTTGCGTTTTGCCAGCTGTCCAGACGCCTCAGCACTCAGCAGCATAGCAACTGGAGGTTTTGTCCTTTTTCACCCACACGACACCGTTTTGTCGTGCCGACCAAACACCTGTTTGTTTATATAACGTACATGCGTATGTTCGCGTAATTATTTTTCTCAAAATTTAAAAAGAAAAGGTTTCTAATGAGAACCTGAAAATTTCAACTGTTCCGTCAGATTCCTCCCGTTGGCTGGAAAAAAAAAATCTGTTTAGATTTCTAAAACGAAACGAAAACCCTTCGAGAATAAGTTTCGCCCTTTGCAGATCTGAAGGGGGGGAGATTGGCTTCTCGATCGATCCGCCATTTTTTCCAGCGAAAAGGGTATGCTCGTTTCCTCTCTGATTCTCTGAGTTCGTGTTATTTTCCTCCGGATCTGCAGAGATTTGATGATATGGGTATTATTATGATGATGATGATTCGGGTTTCTGGATGTGCATGTATAGGTTGATATTGGAGAGGGAAAATGGCGCATAGGGTAGATCAAGACTACGATTATTTGTTCAAAATCGTGTTGATCGGTGATTCTGGCGTTGGGAAATCCAACATCTTGTCGAGATTCACCAGAAATGAGTTCTGCCTGGAATCCAAGTCCACCATTGGCGTCGAATTCGCCACCAGGACTCTTCAGGTGATTCGATTTTCTCCTCCCCTTTTTCGCTGGTTCTTTTCCTAATTAATCTCGCAAGGACACAAGTACGTTTCGGAAGTCCTACTGTCGGAATTAGCCAAAGCGAAATTAAAAACCTGGCCTTTAATTAGTCTTTCGTGTGAGTGAGTGTGAATTGTGAAATGCCATTTGTAGCTGCATCTCCATTTACCTCTTCAATCGAGCCATTTGGTTTGCCGGTAGAATTGGGGTCAATGATATTCATATATATGAGGCAGGAATTCTGTAAGTTACTTTAGTTCAATGCTAGGGAGATTCTGTTCTGTCTGATGAAGGTGCCGCTCGTTATTACATCGTGCTTGCAACTGGGTGTAAGTGGACGATCTTGCGTGTGTGTCATCAAGAAAATTTTCTCATGGCTCATGGTTTTCTAAGATTGAAGCATTGGATGCAGCGGAATATTTGCCACATTCTCCTCTCGGCCATTGAACCTATGTAAAAATATCGCCTTTGGACCGTAGGGTAGATTGGAAATGAAGAACAGACTCGGTTCTCAGGGTTTACTTTGTGGGTGTTGAGATTTAGGGTCCCGGCTTCTCCCGAGAAGGGTTTGTTTCAACGCTAAAAAGATAGCTGTTTCTGCATTTGAGATGCTTCATCTTTTTCGAGATCTAACAGGCCCCATTAACATCCGGGTTTGATGTTGTCTAACGGTGGAAACAGGTAGAAGGAAAGACGATAAAGGCACAGATATGGGACACGGCAGGGCAAGAGAGGTACCGGGCCATCACGAGTGCTTACTACAGAGGAGCAGTGGGCGCACTTCTTGTCTACGACATCACCAAGAGACAGACCTTCGACAATGTCCTGAGATGGCTGCGTGAACTGAGAGACCACGCGGATTCAAACATCGTGATAATGATGGCTGGGAACAAATCGGATCTAAACCACTTGAGATCGGTTGGGGAGGAAGACGGGCAGGGTTTGGCTGAGAAGGAAGGTCTGTCCTTCCTCGAGACATCGGCGTTGGAGGCAACGAATGTGGAGAAGGCGTTCCAGACGATCTTAACGGAGATTTACCATATCGTGAGCAAGAAGGCGCTGGCTGCACAGGAGGCGGCGGCTGCTAATTCAGCCATTCCTGGTCAGGGAACCACCATTAACATTGATGATGCAGCTGGTGCTGGGAGAAGGGGATGTTGTTCTTCTTCTTAAAAGGTAAACACCCCCCCTTGCTTATCCTCTTCAAAGCTTCAAACTTTTTTTTTTTGCTCTCTCTCTCTCTCTCTTCAAGTTTTGGCTGAAGCGCAATGTAGAATTACTACTTCATAGTTTATATTATTTACTATTTTATGTCCGTCCCTTTGGGTTTGTGTTCAGTGGAAGTTTCTGAGATTCTTCTATAATAAAAAGAAAAAAGAAAAAGAAGGTAAGTTTGTTAAATCTGCAATTGTTCATCATCATCATCACCATCAACCATCACCATTGGTATTGTTATTATTACGTTTCCCGCATCATCATCATCATCATCATAGGTGTTACCATTGAGAAACTTCAATCCGTAAAAATCTTGTGTTAGAAAATGATTCATTATTGAAAAAAATTGGTGAGAAATATACGAATTCACAGTCTTATGGGAATACAACCAATGTCATAGCCACGTGGATATTATATGATCATAATAGCAAGCTCCAAAATTGTCAAGCCAAAGCAATCTGGACCGTTCATCATTACTCAATCCGACGGTTGGCATATAAAACTGGATTTATGAGAGCAGAGTTTAAAGTTTAAAGTCTGGACGAACGCCGCGGAGACAGAAAGAGAGAGAGATGTTCTTCCACATAGTGTTGGAGCGCAACATGCAGTTGCATCCTCGATTCTTTGGTCGGAACCTACGAGAAAATCTCGTCTCCAAGCTCATGAAGGATGTCGAAGGCACTTGCAGGTCTCTGTTTCTCCCACCTCCTCTTCCCTCTTTATTTTCCCGGAAAATCCTCTGGAAACCATCTATTCGTCTGGTTTGTCGTTCCAGTGAATGACTCAAGGATTCGAAAAACTAGGAAACTAACCCCTTTTCAGCCGTCGGTTCTGGTTTCTAGGGCTCGAGTTCATTTCGTGTTTATAAGGTAGAAACGTTTGTAAGGCGAAGAATCCGGAATTCCATCGAAACACTATGTTCCTTTTAACCGTAATCGGCGTCCTCTTCTTACAAAGATTAATGGAATTGCGTGTTCGTTCTACTCATGTTTTCCCCCTTTTTTCTATCTGTCCGTACAGTGGCCGCCATGGATTTGTAGTGGCGATCACTGGAATAGAAAGCGTTGGAAAGGGTCTGATTAGGGATGGGACAGGGTCTGTCACGTTTCCGGTGAAGTACCAATGCGTTGTGTTCAGGCCTTTTAAAGGCGAGATCTTGGAAGCTGTTGTTACTTTGGTGAATAAGGTGTGTATATGTGTGTCTATATATATATCTAACTGGGTTTCTTCCTTCCTGTGATGGCTTACTTAGTCTTACCACTGGGAGTTTATTTGAGGGATTGATTCTGTGATTTTGCAGATGGGATTCTTCGCAGAAGCTGGTCCCGTTCAAATTTTTGTTTCCAAGCATGTGAGCTTCTCTCCCCTGTTGTCTGCTCATGATTCTGAGCTCCAACACTTTATGTTTTGATTGATTTTCCGTTTCAAATTGTGGTTTTTTCCTGAGCTAAGATGCATTTCCTGTTTCACTGGCAGCTGATTCCGGACGATATGGAGTTTCAGCCCGGGGACATGCCAAATTATACGACATCAGATGGATCGGTTCTTCTTCTCCTTCTTCTTAAGTTTGATTCTCCGAGTTCTAGTTTTTGGCATCCTTGTGCTAGAAACCAATATCCCATGGCTTTTTTTCAGGTGAAGATTCAAAAGGAGTGTGAAGTTAGGTTGAAGATCATTGGAACCCGAGTAGATGCTACTGAAATCGTACGTATGATCTGTCCCGACATCCTTATCCCTCTAAATCTCTTCTTACTGCTTGAGTTGAGCTAAAGATTCATCTCATCCAGTCATGATACAGCTTATATCAAAAGATTCGAACTTTTGGTTGATTAGGGGGCAATCATCCGATCGGTAATGGTACAGCTAATGGATTTTCCTTTGGCAGTTTTGCGTCGGAACCATAAAGGACGATTTCCTGGGAGTCATAAACGATCCGGCAGCCGCATAAGGAGAAGCTAGGAGAGAACACACTGACAGTTTGGTCCTTTTGGGAACTTCTGTTGTATAGTTAGTAGTTCCCCTGATTGATGTTTTGTTCTTCTTGAATGTGAAGCTTCCTCCATGGAACCGTCCAAACTGAATCAGCCATATCCTTGTAAGGTTCCTGAGTTTTGTACCACGGGACGGAACCGTCCAAACTGAATGTCACTGTGTCAATTGGATCGATCCGATTCTGCATTCAATTCGACGGGTTCGGATTTAAGCCGACTTTATTTTTTTCGGGTTTATATAACCAAATCTGTAATCCGGTTGGGTTCAGATCAGATGGGATTCAATTCCTTTGTGAATTGTTTTTTGAAAAATCCAATTCTTTTTAGTCGACCGGATGGATTCAGACGGTACTTTTAAAGTGGGCTCCATAAGGATCCATTATGGGTCGGAAAATGAGAAAACTGAACATGTAATATATATATTGCCAGTTTATATCGACCCGGCCCCGGCCCAAATAAGGCCCAATTCTACCGAAAAAGATTTTTTCGTCACGCGTTTGGCACGTGGAGAGTAAGCGGCAACGCTAAGCGGGAATATTACTCAAATAACCCACTTGATTCGCAGCAATTTCAGTGTACACCACCGAAAAAAAAAAATTCAATTTTAACTCACTTTTCGGTTGGAAAAGTCCGAAATACCCTTTTCGTTTTATTTTTTGCGATCTTATTACGACTAACATATAACTGATATACAACTAAAATAAGAGAGATGATTTTTTTGCCACCTTTTTTAGAATCAATTGTAACTATATTTAGAATTAATTACGAAGTCGTAATAACGAAGTTGTTTTCGAACGGATAAAAATCGTGTATTCATTAAGGGTAATTTCGTCTTTTCAACAAAAAAAAAAGTGTTATGTTTTTTCTGGTGTACGAAATAGGTGCGAACCAAGTGAGTGGGTCATTTGAGTAAAATTCAATGTCATTGGCTAATGGCTGTGCAAGTTCGTTCTTCCCCTGGGCCTCTGTCGATCAAAACCTGATGTGACTGGAGAAGCCGAGAAAATTCTGTGAATTTCCCAGGAAAAGCTACTTCGCCCGAGAAATGTTGCTGTTTCAGCCTCCTCAAGCAACGCAACCGCCTTATCACTCGGTTTATTTTCGTCCTCGCTTTCCGAAACCGCCTCCGTGTTCTGTTGCCCTAAACCCTCCGACAACCACCGGCGCCGGAACGAATCTCACCAATATCCAGTTGATTAAATCACTTTGCAAACAGGGAAACTTGAAGCAAGCGCTTCATGTCTTGGATCAGGAATCCAACCCGACCCAACAGGCCTACGAGCTTCTGATACTCTCCTGCGCTCATCAAAGCTGTCTTTCTGATGCTCTACGCGTTCACCGACACATTTTGGATAATGGGTTTGATCAAGATCCCTTTTTGGCGACTAAGCTTATCGGTATGTACTCAGAATTGGGATACGTTGATTATGCACGGAAGGTGTTCGATGGAACGCGTAAGAGAACTATATACGTGTGGAATGCTTTGTTCAGGGCGCTTTCGTTAGCGGGTCAAGGAGAAGAAGTGTTGGATTTGTATAGGAAGATGAATAAAATTGGAGTTCAATCAGACAGGTTCACGTACACATACGTTCTCAAGGCTTGTGTTGCATCAGAATGCACGGGCAATCATCTGAAGAAGGGAAAGGAGATTCACGCCCATATCACCCGGCGCGGGTACAACTCGCATGTTTACATCATGACTACGTTGGTGGACATGTATGCTCGATTCGGGTGCGTGGATTATGCCAGTAGCGTGTTCAATGAGATGCCTGTGAAAAACGTGGTTTCTTGGAGCGCAATGATCGCCTGCTATGCGAAAAATGGGAAACCTTTCGAAGCTTTGGAGATTTTCCACGAAATGATGAAAGAAACCCAGGATTCATCTCCGAATTCCATAACTATGGTAAGTGTGCTTCAAGCTTGTGCTGCAATATCGGCGTTGGAGCAAGGAAAGTTGATCCATGGGTACTTACTCAGGCGTCGGCTTCATTCCATAATGCCGGTGATGAGTGCTTTGGTGACGATGTATGCCAGATGTGGAAAGCTTGAACTGGGCCAAAGGGTGTTTGACCAGATGGTTAACCGAGACGTCGTATCATGGAATTCCTTGATCTCAAGCTATGGCGTTCATGGTTATGGCCGGAAAGCAATACAGATATTCGAAGAGATGATCGCCAATGGATGTTCCCCGAGTCCTGTAACATTCGTCAGCGTTTTGGGGGCCTGCAGTCACGAGGGCCTCGTCGAAGAAGGGAAGAAACTGTTTGATTCCATGTGGAGAGAACACAGGATACGTCCCCAAGTCGAGCATTACGCTTGTATGGTTGATCTCTTGGGCAGAGCAGATCGGCTAGACGAGGCAGCAAAAATGGTGGAAGATATGAGGATTGAACCAGGGCCAAAGGTTTGGGGTGCCCTTCTCGGATCCTGCAGGATTCACTGCAATGTTGAGCTAGCAGAGCGGGCAAGCAGGAGGCTGTTCGAGCTTGAACCGAGAAACGCAGGGAACTATGTTCTGTTAACAGACATATATGCAGAAGCTCAGATGTGGGACGAGGTTAAGAGAGTGAAGAAGCTTCTAGAATCCCGGGGATTGCAGAAGCTGCCCGGAAGAAGCTGGATCGAGGTGAGGAGAAGAATGTATTCGTTTGTGTCCGAAGATGAGTTCAACCCACATATCGAACAGATCCATGCCCTTTTGGTCAGACTAGCGGAAGAGATGAAGGAGAAAGGATACGTGCCGCAGACGAAAGGGGTGTTGTATGAGCTGGAGACAGAAGAGAAAGAGAGGATAGTGTTGGGGCATAGCGAAAAGATAGCAGTCGGGTTCGGTCTGATCAATACAGCGAAAGGGGAACCGATCAGGATCACGAAGAACCTGAGACTGTGCGAAGACTGCCACCTGTTCACAAAGTTCATATCCAAGTTCATGGATAAGGAGATTCTTGTTCGGGATGTGAACAGATTTCACAGTTTCAAGAACGGAGTGTGTTCTTGTGGGGATTACTGGTGATTCTTTTTCCCTTTGGATTTTTATACTGTCGGATTTTGTGAATAAAGAACGGGAGAGAGGCAAGAGAGGTTTCGGGGTTGAGATACATGCAGAAGACAGAGATGTAATACGATTGGATCACCATTATTGTTAAATCATCATATTAGCTCTTTTCAATCACAAAGAAATGCGTGTTAACACTTGTGGAGAAAAATAATAATAATTGTTGGTTAGTTTATATTGTTATTAATATCAGTTATTAATATTATTTAAAAAATGTAGTAAATAGTTGGAGTCATTTTAGGATCAATAAAATACAATAATTCGTTAAGAGAGCAAATGTAATAAAAGGGACACCAAAAAGACACGTTTTGGAACACGTGATAGGAAGAATCTAACACCGAGTGTGAACCACACGCGTCTGATCCAACGTACTTCAGGCCGGTCACATTCGTCCATTCATTAAAGACATATAACCCACCCACACACATATATATACATATAGATTCACAAGCAAGGGTACAACGGTAAACTCGCTCGACTCCCCCCCGAGTTCACTCGTTCCCGGTGAAATTCGACCCGGCTTGAAAAATCTTTTTTTTCCCCTCTAAAACCTACTCTAGTCACTCCCTAGCGCTTAACCCTCCTCTTCGTTCAGAAGGGCAAAAACCCATAGTTAAATTTAAAAATAAAAAAGAAAAAGGGAATCCGTCCATAGATCCATGGATCCACCGACAAAGAAAGCCACCCCCATTACGTGTCTCGACGAAGATCAACGACAACGACACTGACATTGTCCGAGCTGTGTCTTGCCAATGCAAGTTTCATCAGCAATATTGACGCGTCCGTACACGCCTTGTCCGATACCTCATCACTACCACCACCTCCACCTCCCATCACCTGGTTCTCGTTGTGGTTCGGTGGCTGAGCCACACCACCACCTCCAGGTTTCCCTCTCAGGCACATCCGAGCCACCCCGCATGCCGTTTCGTTCGACACCACGTCCCACAAGCCGTCGCTCGCTAGTATAAGGCAGTCATCGTCATCTGCCCGTTCAGTGACCGTCACCTCTGGTTTGCACGTCACGTACGGCTTCAAGTAATTGTCGCCTGAAGAAAACGTGGAGAGAGAGAGAGAAGATATTAAAACTGTACACACACTCGGACAGTGTGAATCAGGATGTAATAATGAATTCACCAATGGCTCGTGACATTGCAAGGACTCCAAGTACACGTGGTCCGTCCCAGTAGATGACTCGGCCACCTGCGGCCTGGATCCGGTCGAGCTCATCCGGCCGATCCGGCTGTTCATATGCGCCAACAGAGCCAGCAGAGTTACAAAATGTGCACAAAAGGTGGCTAAAGTTTTAGACTTTGAATTCCTAATGGATTTATTCCACGCTCTTAACCATCGTTTCACCTGATTTACCATGAAAAATCCAGTAAGAATCTCCCTTCTCACGAAAACCAACACGAATATTCGACCGTTTTCACCTACGACTATATGTTTTCTAAGAAAGGTATTATCTTTGCCTAAGGATTCGCACCGAGAAGCTGTACATTTCGTCCAGAGTAACTCCATGAGAAGAGCCGGTACGGTGAGATGTAGGGGATGTAGATGGGCCAAAAGTCGGGTGAATTTTCAGATGGTAAAAAAAAAACCCATGAGAAGAGAGAACGACACATGGGATAGATTACAGACCTTGTGGTCGGAAGACAAGGGGATGGATTTCCCGCTACGGCAAAGGACAGCGCGGGAGTCGCCGCAGTTAGCGACGATGATCTTGTCCGGCGTAACGACGGCTACGACGGCGGTGGAGCCGACGGCGTCGCAGTCCGGCGTCTGGAGCTCGCACCGGCAGTTCGCGGTGACAGCCTCGCCCTCGTTCCACGCGACCACCTCCTTGTCCATGCGCGTGAAGCTACGCTCCATCGCCCCTTCCCAGTCCCCGTCCATCTCATCAAGCTCCTCCCGAACCAACTCGTGCAGCCTATCTCTACACCTCATCGCCACCTTCACATCCAAAAAAAAACGGATAACGATCAGAACGACGTCGTAGAGGAGGATTAGAGAGGTAGGGGATATGAGACGGCGGCGTACGTGAGAGCAGCCATGGCCATCGTAGACGCCGCAGTAATGGTATCCAGCGGTGGAATATTCCGTTCGAGGATGTAAGAAGAACGGATGTACGGCGACGGCGTCTTCCATATCCTGTCTTTTCCCGCAAACCGAAACGACGCCGCATTTGAGGTACGCCTCCGGATCCGGTAATGCGAAAATTTTAGGGCTCAGAGACTCGCACAGAACGACCACCTCCTTCGCCGTTTCAGACGCCGTCCTCCCATTCTTCGCCGACTCCAAGTGATCGCACTTCTCCTCCTCACAAACCCGACACAACACGGCTGCGGTGGTGGCAACATCTCGTCTCCGCCGCTTCTGTTCGCCGTCGTCTTGCCCCGCCGTATGCTCCGACGAAGGCATGCTCGAGACAAACTTAATCCTCCGGATCTCCATCCTTCGTCGCCGCGCCGCCCTCGAAGAGCTCCGTTCGCGCCTAGACTTCGACGGCTGCGTCACCGTCGCCGCCGCCGCTTCATTCTCACTCAGGACGCCGCAACAAATCTCCGCCATGCGTTGATCCGGTTTGATCAACATTGACGCTCCATAACTTCCTCTAAAATGTTTGAGAGAGAGAGAGAGAGAGAGAGAGAGAGAGAGAGAGAAGCGTGCACAAGCTAAGAGGGAAAAGCTTTATAACAGAGGATGGCGCTTCAATGGACGCTCATGTTCCATTTTTCTTCCACTTTTTATTGTGTCGGGCAGCTGACCGAGCCGGGACGGGCAGATGAAAGCGAAGAAGAAGAAGAAGAAGAAGAGCTGTTGAATGGAGTGACTCAGCACTACTCTATCTGGACGAAGAAATCTGGACCGTCCATCTCATAACGTTACCACGTCCCCTTCTCTTGGATACGGAGAAAACGTGGACCAATCAGATTCTAACACCGAACCTCAAAAGTGAAAAGAACATTTCATGAGAAATTCTCATACCAAACCCCATTCCTTATATAAACCCCAATTTAACCTTAAATCTTTAATTAATTACTTTTAACTTTAAATAAATCAGATAAAAAAATATAATACAGCTGGACTAATGCGTTAAAAAATAACAATGACACGTGTCGTAGGTTGATGTTTAGGGGTCCACCTGTTGACCCAACTCTAGAATGTCTGCTGCTATTTCTCCTCATCATCGTATCTCTAACACGTGTCTTCATCACAGACCCCTGTCTTGGATCCTGCTTTTCTCTCATCACGCAAATTTTATTTTTTCAATTGGATCATTTTGGTATTTCCGTGGACCGTTCTACTCTTTTATTTTATTTTTTTTGGTATTTTATTTTATTTATCGGTAAGTGTCTGATTCAAGGTTCGATATTTAGTTGTCAAATTTATTTTATTTTACTAGGAAAATCATTTTAATATTCATATGAAATTACCGTAGAACATGACTAATTTCATTCATTGAGAAATTAGCATGATTTGCAATATTTTTTTCGGATCATTAGATTGCAGAAAATCTATAAAAAAAAAATTCAACTTTCAAATTCAGTTAAAAAAACACTAAATTTTTTTATTTTATCAAATAAATATTAAATTTTTAAAATTTTTCAAAACAAACACTTAATTCTTATACGATTGTCAAAATAAAATGATTAATGTGGTATAAAAAGATACAAATACTTCATATTATTTTATTTAGTTTTTGTTTTGACAATCGAAAAACGTTCATATATTTTTTTGGATAACTAGAAAAGTTTAGTATTTTTTTAATAATCGTAGAAAAATTCATGTATTTTTTTAATCACTTAAAGTGTTTTTTTAGACTCGTTTAAAAAATTTAATATTTATTTGATTAAAAAAAATAGAGTTTAATGTTTTTTTGTCAAATTAAAAAATTCAGTATTTTCGTGGAATTTTCTTTATTATCTTATTGTAATTCAATGATGACAGCAAAGAAATATTACTCCAAATTAGAACCCAAATAAATAAACAGCCAGTATAATGATTGAATGACGATTACGAATGATAATGCACCTAATTATATAATAAAAATAAAAAGTCTAAATGCTGCATGAGTGCATGCTTTAGAAAGTCATACGGATATTATATTTAAACTTTTGGACCGTACCACAAATAGGGACACGTTTCGACTGCATGTTTAACTCGGTATGTTAAAAAGTGAATATATACACACATACATATGACCCCACTATATAAGTGAATATATGTATACACACATATGACCCCCCTCCCCCCACCCCCACTATACCTTGTTATAATCACAATTTCGACCATCCAATTATGTATTATCATCAATATTTCATATGATTGAAATGGGTGAAGTAATTATGACTAATCGTATATATAAATAACATGCGGAAAAACTAAAAAAGAAAAAGAAAAATATCTGTATAGAAAATTATATAGGGCGTGGCATCAAGTGATAGGATGACGTGTGGGTCCCACGAAAGTGTACAAATATTTATTTATATTTAAAATGAGAAGCGCGTGTAAGACAGGCGCCACGTGTTGAAGAAGGCTGGCCTGTCTGGTACATGAAGTTGACAGGAGGCAAATGCTTCGCGCCACGTGAAAGGTTTTCTTCTGTATTTAATTACTATTTTTATTCCCCAATACTGAAAATATAATATTATTACCATTTAGTTGTGTATAAATCATCGTTTTCACACGTTAAATAAAAAAGTTTGATAGAAAAGAAATATCATCATAATTTATGTAAAGTCAATTCGAACGGATTTCCAAGATTTGTGTTAAAGAACGAAAAAAAAAAACCAATTTTTATTTTAGAATTTATGTTTTTCATGTTTTACGAGGAAGATGACGTGTCCTGTCGGTAAACAACTAAGGTTGGGTCAAAGGGTAACTTTGGCCTAAGGCGACACGTGGCAGGCGTAACCCCACGTTGCGATCGTATTTTTTCTTCGCAAGGGGAGGATGGTGATCCACGTGTCGAGTGATGAGGTGGACACGTGTTTTACGAGGCCAGATATTCCCCGAGGATGCATGGCGGGCAGGTTGCAACGGTCTGTTAATTTTCAACGTCACGTATTTAAACTTGGTCATTACCGACTTTTTTTTTTTGACGCTCCATTTTAGAATTTTTTTTTTCATTTTGCGTTATCTCCTCTATGCATTTTTCAAAAAAAAAAAAAAAATCTTATATCTCCACACTTACATATATTCAATATCTTATTTTTTTTAAAAAAAAAAATAGTTGATCGATAATGCATCTTTTTTGTCATGGCAAAATCTCTACGTGATTAATATAGATATGTAATGTTGGATCAGGGACGTGCACGCATCAAGTGTACGAGAAAAGAAAACATGACACATGACATTATATTTATCTATTGATTTAGTTGTAACTTGATTTCATTTTTGTGGAGCATATATGCATATATATATATATATATATGTATGATTTAGACAGTTGAGGATGGTATTGATTGCCCATCTAACCTAATTAATAAGACCCCAAAGATTAACAAATCCATTTGATTAATCTCATGAAACCATAAACGTAGATTGTCATATCGTTCCACCACGTGTTTCTTGGGACAACAATGATTAATATTAAGCAACGGTCCAAATAATCTACATGCACTTACTAATTTATTGCCGATGTGTGCTCGCTCTTTCCGTCACGACAGTGGAGAGATACGTGTCGGTCGGTCGAGAGATCGAAGAATCCAAAGCTCCCAACTTTCCCTTTTGAAACAAAAGCTACTTAAGTTTTCCGACTACAAATCAATCGCGATCTAACTTCACATTGAGCTTTGTAACAATTCACATCGACTGATGTGAGCATGCAAAAAAAAAAATGTCCGTCATACAAGGTTATGTGGTACTGCCTCTACATACAACTCACACACAATACGTATTTATATATATCAAATCATAATAAACTCGTCAGCCCATATATATATATATATATGTAATACGTATATATCGCTGGATTGGACAAATACGTATCATGAGTTTGAACCGACGGAAATATATTTTTCACAAAATCTGGTCCGACGCAAACGCATTGCCACCGCAGGCTTCGCTTTCGCGTTTGCGTTTTGCGTTTGGTGGCTTCACCGTGGCTTTCTTGGGCCGCAAGTTCCTCGCCTTGGCTTGTTCCCATCGTGATTCCTGCGGCTAAGCTCTCGGCTTCGGCTTCTTGCTTGCTTCTAGGGCTTTTTCTCTGCAGCAACTACATGTTTACCCCTTTTCTTCCGATAAATTACATCTTTACCTCCACCTTATAATAACCCCTTTTTGGGCCGAGCCTATGAGTACTGAATTGGGCCGTGGGCCATTTAGACGAGGCCGTCAGTATCATCCAACGGTGACGAGCGGAGTGTAAAGGGCTGAAGACCTTGCAGATGATGCCACGTGGACTTGCCTGCTTATATATGGGATGCAAACCTATTTATATTCCAATCTTGTTTTTTCTTCGCCACTCTGATTCCTTCCACCCGTTGCTCGCTTTCGAAATTCCTGGATTTTGTTCACGTGCACTTTCGAACCTCGGGTTCTCTCGCCTGAGATTTTCCCGGGAAAATCTTCGTTTCTCCTTTTTTTTTCTGAGCAAGTTAATCGAAAATTGAGTAGGTAAAGCTCCGGATATGGCCGCGTCAACCACGACCAGCGCCGTCTACATCCATGTCATCGAGGATGTCATCAGCAAGGTTCGAGACGAGTTCGTCAACAGTGGGGAATCGGGAGAAATTGCCCTTACCGAGCTTCAAGCGGTTAGTTGAAAGTTCCCGTGGTTTGCATCCGAGTTCCGATCCTGAAAAATCTTTTGTCTCGATTCTTGGGTCATTTACTGCTCTTCAATCTGTTTCATTTCTCTAGATCTATGGAATATGTCACGAATCGAATACATTTTGCGTGGATCTGGGAACTGTACTTGTTACGATATGGATAATTAATTCAGCTGGAAGCTAGGGTTTTAGGAATTTTTGGGGATTTGGAGCTGGGAAATAGCTGATTCCGCTTTGTTTGGTGCAAACATTGTGGATAGATTTGGGAGACGAAGATGATGCATGCCGGAGTATTAAGTGGTCCGATAGGCAGGTCGTTTGCTCAGAAGCCAACACCAGGAGGATCATTAACTCCCATGCACGACCTCAATGTACCGTACGAGGGGAACGAGGAGTATGAGACTCCCACAGCCGAGATGCTGTTCCCTCCTGTGAGTTTCCACCATTAGACGAAGTCTTGTCATTTTTTGCTTGTTGTTTTGGATTTGATTTACGGTTTAGTTTCAACGGGATTTCAATAATCGAAGCTTCTTGTTTTCTGTGAAAGCAGACCCCTTTACAGACTCCCGCACCAACTCCACTCCCTGCATCAACCCCACATCCTGGAAGTTCTGATAACTCGACATATAATTATCCCACTCCTGCGGTTGAAAATGGCATTAACAATTCTGTCAAAGGTCTCAGGCCTAGTCCATACATGGTGAGATTAAGCTGTTTGACATCCGTATTCCAATTGGTCAATGACCTTCACTTTTCCAGTTGTGGGTTTTGGCTAATGTTTTCTGGCTGTTTTCCAGCAAATTCCTTCTCCATGGGCCAACCAAAGGCCACATAGTGTTGATGTCAATATTGGTAAGTAATGTGTCTGCCAAACTATTCTTTCCCAGCTGCTAGTCTTACTGTTTCGTTGATGATTATTTTTGTGTACGGTAGCTCCTATTGAAGGACAGGAAGATGTGGACAGAGGAAACTCCAGCCAACCATTGGCACAGGTGCTATTTGCATCGTCATGTCTGGGAATTGCATAAAATGGACTGTTTCTGGTTCGATGAGAACTGATAGAAACTCTACAATCAGTTAAAATTGAGACCAAACTTTACAATCAGTTAAAACTGAGTCCATCTGATGTTGGCACATGTTTCAGGATCTCATGACTGGAAAGAGAAAACGTGACAACTTTTCTGGGCAGTACTCAAATGGTGGATATATACCCCAGCTAGATGGAGCAGGGGATTTTGTCCCAGATGTATGTTTTCTTGTTCATCCCTAAGTATATCGAGACTTAGATCTTTATAACTACATGGCTTCTTTTTTGTTAAAAGCTCTGAAGCTAAGTTAATAGAACACATGATTTCTATGTGAAAGAAGTTTGAGTTCTGTAAATTGGCAGGTAAACCAAGGGGGTGGTTCACTGTGCGAGGGAGATACAGATAAGCCATTCTGTGTAGAGATCCAGTCAGCTTTGACAAAATCTTCTTTGAAGATTCCTCAAATGGATGGGCCGAATCCAGATATTTATGATGAAATGCTTTCTACTCCCAACGTAAGTTTAATATGCTCATTATAATTACAGATTCTATCTTAATGTGGTGGTCCAACTTATTGTAAGGGGGCAAAGTGAATTTGTATTGGCTTGTGAAATGTAGTTGTGGGTAAACGAAATGTTAGGGGATTAGAAACTATAGGTGACTCCAAGAACTCTTGAATTATCTGGTTGAGGTAAATGTGATAACTCATTTGACTTGTCAGATGAGCGCATTAGTGTATAACGTTTCACTCAGTAACGGCCAATGCGAGTGTTAAAATAGTCAAGTATTTGAGCATAATTTATGAAAAAGTTCTAAAGTTATTCCTGGGTTTCATCTTACCCTTTTTCCCCTTTCTCCACTCTGAAGATCTTCAATTACCAAGGAGGCAGCGAAGACTATAACATCGCCAATACCCCTGCCCCGAACGGTAACATCTGTCGTATATGCTTTTAGTAATGCTATCAATTCCTCCATAACTCACTTCATGCGGTTCCTGGTTATGAAAATGCAGAAAATACTCCAGTTCCTGTGCAAAACGAAATAAAAGATGAAGAAGACGATGATGAGAGTTTGAATGAAGATGACGATGATGAGGATGACTTGGATGACATCAATGACGAAGAGGATATGAACACACAGCACTTGGTCCTTGCCCAATTTGACAAGGTTCACTAACTTGTCCTCATCATAATTTTACAACACCAAACTGACTTTGTCCTTACATCTGATCTCCGACCTGCACACATGTATTAGGTGACTCGCACAAAGAGCCGGTGGAAATGCACCCTCAAAGATGGCATAATGCACATAAACAACAAAGACATTCTTTTCAACAAGGTCTGTAATTTCCATTCCTGAACTGTAATCCAAATCACCAACAGCCAAAAAAAAATGATCAGATTCATCTGCTCGGTCCAACCATTTTTGTATTTGAAACATCCGTTCATTTTGTGCAGGCCACTGGAGAGTTCGACTTCTGATAGGGAAGTGCCAGTATGTCTGACTGGAGGTTATTTTCTATTGCTCTCTGCTCCTTTTGTCTCTTGGAGTTTATTTATTATCCACCATTGTACATAAAGAAAGAGCTTCCCTTTAGGTGGGGGGTTTTCTCCAAAGTCTGTGGCTTATTACAGGTTTTGGTCTTCTGTTGGATTGTAATTCTCCACAGCACGTTTTCACCAACTCCAGGTTTAATGTGACGACTCAACTCTCGTTTTCCTGTGGCATATGTCGTTTAGACAGTGTGTGAATTAGAAGCTTGAAACACTTTGTATCGGAGACCACAATATATATATTATACAATGCCATTACAATATATATATATATATATATATATATATATATATATATCACGTTATTTGAATATGGAACCTTCGTATCAGAGAGCACAGTTATAGTATATACAATGCCATTACAAAAAGAGAGATTATACACAACAATATTGGGATCGCTGGCTTCGCGTTCAGCGACCATCAAATAAGACAGTAACAGTATCATATGAGAAACTTGCTGCTGATGAGGAAGTGATCATTGGTCCTTCATTGCTTAAAGAGGGGATGCCAAATTCAGCATTCTCAAAAGATATGTCCGGAACTCTGTCATTTCCTTCCAGACACTGTAATATCTGTCTCATTGCAGGTCTGTCTTCTGGCATTCTCTGTGAACAGAGCATGCCCATCTTCAAAACCATCTCTACTTCCTCCACTTCAAAGTCCCCTTCCAGTTTATCATCAACAGTATCCAGCAGGTGACCTCTTCTTCCACAACTGGCTATCCACTTGACCAGAATCATCTGTTCTGGTGGTCTTTCCGGGTCTACCGGTCTCCTCCCACAAGCCACCTCTAGCATGAAAGCACCAAAGGCATAGACGTCTGTCCAAGTTGTGGCCAGACCCATTTCGGTAAGCTCTGGAGCCATGTAGCCGATGGTTCCAACCACCCGAGTGGCTTGGAGGTTAGTGCCTCGGTCGTGGAATCTTGCAAGACCGAAATCTCCTAACCTTCCGTTTAAACCGGAGTCTAAGAGGATGTTGCTTGCTTTGATATCTCTGTGGAGCACAACTTGTTCCCACTCTTCATGCAGGTAAAGAAGGGCAGAAGCCACTCCCTTGATTATTCGAAACCTCTGAGACCAGTTTAGTTTTTTCGGTTTCTCGCTGTTGAACAAGTAGTCGTCAAGACTTCCATTTGGCATGTAATCGTATACCAAGAGCAATTCTCCTCTCCTTCTGCAGTAACCGAGGAGCTGAACCAGGTTCCTGTGCCTTAGTCTTCCCATGCTAACGATCTCCGAAACATACTGTCTCATTCCTTGTTCTGCCTCATGGGAAACTCTCTTAACGGCGATTTCAGTACCGGAAGGGAGTTCTCCTCTGTAGACTTTTCCAAAGCCTCCTGCTCCAAGTAACATACTTTCTTTGAAACCTTTGGTTGCTTTGTAAAGGGTCTTAAAGGAGAGCCTTTGAGGGCTGTATTCCTTCTCCCACTGTTCGAGAATCTCTGCGTATTTCCTTTTCTGATAAAGATAAAGAACTGCAGCTGCTATCATCAGAAAAGCGACTGCCGATATAGAAGCAACTATAACTGTAGGGGGTCGCTTTCGAGGAGGCGGAGGAGGGAGGTTAGGAATCTTTGACATGTCGAGGCTTTCGGCTTTTCCACCTTTCTTGAAACTCCATCCGAGGATGTACTGATCACTTTTGACCGTGCCTGTGGATCCCGAGAAACCGATGTACATCTCCTCCAAGAATATCTCGGAAAGATTGATGGGTCTTGACAAGAGAGGCAAGCTTGGTTTGATGGATCTTGACAGGAGAGGCGAATCAGATTCTTGAACCGGGATCGGGGCTAGAGTTACATTTAGCAGTTTATCAGCACCATCATACTCTATCCAGATCAGAATACGTTTTCCACTGGCAAGAACCAAACTTATGTTCTTCCCTTCTGCATTGGAAAAGTAACTAGAATTTGCGGATTCCATGGAGACGATACTGTTGACGTCGATCCCAACATGGTTATCACTTATATCTTCAGCATCAGGGCTTCTGTTAGTGTCGAGCTCTATGGCCAGAACATGGTTTTCTGTCTTATTGTCAGTTGATCTATTGAAAAGCCCCAAGTATGAGGTTGGATTAGCATACCTGAAGTCAGTGGAAGCGGATACCACGAAAGCCATTCCTTGGCCTCGGTTTCCTGCTTCTGGAACAAACGCGAATACGAATTCCGTCGAGAATGAAAGCGACTCCGATGAGCTGGAGGAAGACGTATCGAATTCTACAGGGAATCTGTGGAAAGCATGACCAGTACTCTGTGTTGAATCATTTGTAAGTTGCAAAAGGCCACTGGAGAGGATAGTCGCCATTCCATCAATGGACAGATTCGCTTTTCTGAAATCATAGTACACAAACTCGTCTCCACCTTGAGAAAACACCGAGGGGAAGAAGAAGAAGAAGGAAGAAACGATTATCCATAAACACTGTGACCGGAGAGCTGCAGCCATCTGAAACAACTCCTGAAATTGATGAACTGTTTGACTGGAAGAACTTTCAAAGAGCTGCAGAAAGAAACTGATGTAAGTTCTGCCCTTTTTTATTTTATGTGATTGTGAACTTTCAAAGAAGTTTCTTTTGGATCTTCTTTCCTTAGGTCTAGTCTCTCTTGCTTGCGCGTATGCACATCTCGTTATCAGTGATTTATAAATAGCGGTTTGAACTAGTAGTTGGAAAACGAAATTTTAAATTGAGAAAGTGCTAGTTGCATGTAGTTTATGTTCTTCAACTCAATAATATGAGAGGTTTAAATCATAATGCATTATTCTTTGCCGGTCAACTGCTTTCTTTTCTCCTGAAGAAACTTTCTGCAGAAACCATGGAGTTTTAGAGCTTGGTCTAAATGGAAACTCTTTGATATGTTAGAGAATATATACACCCTTGATACAGAAAAGTTTTAAAATTCTCTCAATGGACAAAGATGAATGGTGATGATGATGATGGATCATTGAATTCATACATTACATTGTATACATAGTAACAGATAATGTGTTTCTATAACCAGAAGGTTGACAAAACGAAAACAAAACATGCAGAGTACTTTTCCAAATGTTTTTTTTTTCAGGGAGTTTGGTTTCTAATGGAGGGTTGTGCTTCGGAACACAGATTCTGCAGAAAGCAAAAAACTAAATTCTTTCGGTCATGGGACTATACAGGGTTGGCTAAAACTTCATTGTATGGAGTGGGAATACCGATCCCGGGAGTATCTGGAGGGATTTCAGGCAAAACATCATGCCCTTCAAGATACTTCACCACCTGAGACATGCTTGGTCTGTCCTCTGGGTTGTACTGTAAACAAATTAGTCCAAGCTTAAGTACAATCTCCATCTCATCCTGAACATAATCTCCGACCAATCTGGCATCTCGGGCACCGATCAAGTTCCCTCTTTTCCAGCACTGACATACCCAACTGACCAGATTAAACTCTTCCGGCTTCCCAGGAGATTCTATGAACATTCTTCCACAAGCAACTTCAAGCAGTAAAGCTCCAAAGGCATAAACATCGGCTTTTGTCATTGGCATTCCTGTGATTATAAGCTCTGGAGCCACATACCCGACACTTCCCAGCACGTGGTTCCTGTTCGTGCCAAATCTAGACAACCCAAAATCGAGCCGCCCGTTTAAGTCCTCATCCAAGAGTACATTTGCAGCTTTTACATCTCTGTGGAGAAAGACTTGGTCGTGAAGATAGAGAAGAGCAGATGCTACTCCCTTGATGATGTGAAATCTTTTAGACCAACTAAGGTTAGGCTTCTCTCCATTAAACAAGAAATCATCGAGGTTTCCATAAGGCATGTAATCATAGACCAGAAGCAATTCACCTTTTCTCCTGCAGTAGCCGAGGAGCTGGACCAAGTTCTTGTGCCTAAGTTTTCCAATTCCAACGATCTGAGACACAATGTGTTTGGTCTCTTGGTCCATGTCTAGAGACACTCTCTTTACAGCGATTTGGGCATTGGAAGAAAGCTTCCCTCTGTAAACCATCCCATTAGCTTCTGTCCTGACCACCTCGCTGTCTTTGAACCCTTTGGTGGCTTTGTAAAGTGCTTTGTAAGAGAATCTCTGAGGACCGTAATCTTCTTCCCATTCTTCTTGTACTTCCTCGTACTTGGTCTTCCCGTACAGAGATCTGAAGGCTGCTCCCATTTCAGAGAAATCCAACAGGAGATGTGAAAACTGGTAAGAATTCAATGAGGCGGGTCTCACTCTGTTCTCTGCAGCAACAACATCATTCTGAACAATGGCATTGTCTATGTTTGGTGGTTTTGAGTATGTGGGCAATGACTTGCAGGCCACTTTCTTCAGACACAAGGTCAACCCATGTACCAGACGACCAGTTTTTTTTTTTTTTAATGTTCATATATTCTCTTGTTGTGCATAATTTAATCATGGACTGAACTGGTCGGTCGGATATTAAATATAAATAATGCATATTCAGAATGCAGATAATTTTGTGGACTCTTCATGTTAAAGAGGCCAAAATATGATCAAACCATGGCCAAAGAATGGAAGCCTTTGTGAATACAATAGGAAAAAATTGCCTTGGAGGCTTATTATTGCTGGAACCAGAGAGGTCCATTTATTCAAATGAATACAAGAGAATGCATTACAATCTTGAATATACTTATGTATACAACAAAAATGTAAAAAAAAAAAACACCAAGCTTGGTTGCTGGTGAAAACATGAAGCTTAAGTACAAAACAACAGTTTATATATTCTTCTTCCAAGAGTAATTGGAATTTGTCATCAGAGATTTGGATTTTTTTTTGGGTAATATAATGCTACAAGAGCAGAGGAAACCCTCTTCTTCTTTAGTTCAGTTGAAGCACTTTTCCATGTTTTTCTTCCTCTGCAACTGCAACTGCAACAACAGAAGAAGATACACGCAGAATGGATCAGACAGGAAATTCAGTATCTAATATAGGTGTTTCAGTTCGTGTTAAAGAAACCGAAAGGTAGCTTATTAGATTCAGCCAGATAAAGGAACTCACTTTCATGTGTGTTGGTTGAAATGGGAGCTCTTTGTCCTGAACTTATCGGAGCTGATTCTATGGCTTCCGCTCTCCAGACCGTTCCACCATGACCAGAAGCTTTCCGAGGACTGATGGCTTCAGATATGACTCGAGAAAGCGCTCTGTCATCTTCCCCAGGCTCAAACTTCTGCATTATATACTCCTTCACCGATACACCTTTGTCCCAAACCTGTCCATCACAGACATATCTCAGTGTCTAATGAATCCGTGAAGCATAATTTCCACATGCGTGTGGATACATCAATGGTACAAATGCATTTAACCACATATACAGTATACTGGTCAATACCTTACTCTCAGAATCAACAGGATTGTCAGTTCCAATGGTGATGGGCTTGTCAGTTCCTGAAACGTCACCCCTTTCTGTGTTCTGCACCATGGAGGCCGAAACAGCCAGACCTTGAATCTTTGCACCTATAGCCTGAGTGACATCAGAGACTTTAGCATAAGCCGGTGCTAGCTTCTCAGTCACGGTTTCTGCAACTGTCTTGCTCTTACTAGCCCAAGATTCTTCTTTTTTGTCAGCCAAAGCCAAGTTCTCGGGCGCATATCCAGTCTTTGTCATGTCAGAACCAGTAGGTTTCTGCTGTTCGAGATCAGAACCATGTTTGGCCGGGACAGACAAGACATGGTTCTCAGGGATCACTGGATCTGCCCGTGGATGCTGCCTTGCAGTCTCCTTCATTTCCACTGGAGCCATCTCTGATTCGTACACTGGAAAAACAAACCGCAATCAATCTGAGAATCGTCCTGGGATCAGAATATCAAAACTGATTTTTGTTTTTTCGTTTTTTTTTTGTTTTCTCATCAGGCACTTGTTTGCAGTTCTGCTTTCTTGTTCATGCACTACCTTGTGTATTAATGGATCATTTTTCATTTATTGGTGTAAGTTTTGAAAGATTCAATGAAATAGTTAATATGAAATTAAGATCAATTCATTACTTGGGGCTCCGAAATATTCAGGATCTCCTTCTTCTTCTTCTTCCTCTCCAGCTTCCCGGTCTTCCGACCTGGCACTCCATGATGGCGTTGTATCTCCCTCTTCCCCGTACTTCTTCTTGTTGCTGAGACTATGCTTCAATTTTCTTGCCTTTTCTTTCATTTTTCCAAACAGTGACTTCTTATGGTGGGAATGATCTCCTTCAAGGGCATCATCCTCTCTTGGCGTAGAAGAAGGAGACCGCCTTGAAGCTTCACTGGCTGAAAAAATTACAGAAAACAGATTCACCGATTGCAAAAAGAGGGGGAAAAGGAATTTATGTCCAAGAAAAATCTTGTTAATTCACCAAGAAACAGACAAAACAGATTTGGAAACAGACCTCGATTCACATATATATCCATGGAACGGAAACATTCTAAGACATGTCTCAGTGAAGATCAAGAAATGAAGTACAGATACATACCATAGAGAAGCTGATCGACGCTTGAGAAGCCAGGACTTCGAGGACTATTGCCACGTGTTTTCACGCTCTCAAGCTCAGCAACCGGCTCAAGGTGAGGTGACATTGTGCTTTGTCTTTTTTTTTTTTAATTTTTATTGTTTTAGAGAAATCTTGCAGAGATCTGTTCTGAAATCTGTTTTATGACACGGACAGAAAACATTTAAGACAGGAAAGGAAATGTCTAAAGCATTGTTTTCTGAGCTTCTTGGACATACCACAGAAAAGGGAGCCATAAATGTGAGGTGGTAATGTCTTCCAAACATTTTGTGGCCTCTCGTTTGAAAGTGGAAGGTACACAAAATATTCTTGGACAGGAATGGAATTCTCCCTGAGAAACTCATGTTCGGCCTGAAGAATAGGCAATACAGTTACAGAATCAGTCAGCAAAACATGGAACCACAAACACAAGACACCTTGTAAGAAGTCCACGAAGACTGTTTCCACTGTATGTAAACCACACAAGAATTGATGCCACTGTATATAAACCACTCGACAGTCCTTTACAAAAGTCGTAAACAAGATAGCTTCGCACAGTATTGTAATAAATCCGTCGAGAAAACGAGTTTCTTGTGATAGAACTTCCCATTTTTCAATTGAATCATTACCATATCTTTCAGAGAAAACACGAAAATCCTAGCCACAACAGTAGAACGTAAAGTTTCCAAACTTGAATGTCATCCATGATAGAGAATACCTGCCAAATATCACAAGAGAACTGGCTTACTGTTAGCTGTAAGCCAGACCGAACTACTACAGCTAACTTGAACAAATCTGAGTATGTGATAAACCTGCATTGCAAGAACATTGACAACAACAACAACAACATAGGTCACAGAGTCATCACACCTCATCTCAAGAAAGGTTCTGAGCAGTGACCAAAGCAACAATTTTTATCTCCATGAACCCGACAAGCCATTAACAAAATCTTCAAGTGCCATTTCATCAAACAAAGTGCTCAATTTCAAACATTCATGAGCAGAAAAACATTAACCTTTGATTTGTCTTATAACCAGGAAGGATTCGTTAGTTGAAAACTATGACATCCGAATCTCTGGAAATAAAGTATCAGAGCATTTTTTCCGAGGCATTTCACCGAATGCTCGCCGTGCACAAGAGATTTGATCTCATTAACTAAGAATACCAACGAAAACGCTGAACATTTTGGGCAAAAACCATCTTGACGAATCTTCGACATAGCTGATTAGCAGTGTCAAAGACAACCCAATGTCGCACAAGATAGAACAAAAGACTACCAACCTGGTCAGAGAGACATCCATCTCTTCGTTTTCCCGGCGTCGGAGTACTTTCCGGCCGTAAAATCGCGGGAAATGGGTATGATCGCTAGTTTCACTTCACTCCGAAAGATGCATCGCATATTCGCAGTGTAGAAGTCGAGGAACCGCAAAGGCAGCTCATCGCTAGACTAGTTGCCGGGAAAAGATACCGTCGCCGGAAGCGCTCTCTTATGGCCGCACGTGTGCAATGTTCCACACGTGCAAAATCCTCTCGGTAGTCGGTAGTTTCTCACTCGCACGCTGCACTTGCGTGTTGTTTCATCTTAAATAAACAACACACCATTTATAAAACCAGAAAACGAACCGCAGTCACGTGAAGAATTTGTCCTCGTACAGAACCCCAAGTACAGAATCGTTTGGGAAAATCACCCAAATAACCCATTTGGTCGCATCTATTTCAGTATACACCACCGAAAAAAAAAATTTAATTTTAATCTATTTTTCGATTGGAAAAGTCTGAAATATCCTTTTCGTTTTATTTTTTGTGACCTTATTACGACTAATATATAAGTGATATGACAGATGATTTTTTTACCACCTTTTTTAGATAATTGTAACCATATTTAGATTTAATTACGAAGTCGTAATAACGAAGTTGTTTTCGAACGGATAAATATCGTAATTCATTAAGGGTAATTTCGTCTTTTCATCGGAAAAAAAATGTGTTATGTTTTGGGTGATGTACAGGTGAAATAGATGCGACAAGTGGGTTATTTGGGTAAAAAACCCGACTCGTTTTTCCCAAAACCTCCCCGTTCTCTCTAATACCTATCTTTCTTCTCCGTCTTTGCCATGGCCGCCTTCTCCGCCAACGGTTGGCTAATCCCGGCGGAGACTAGCTCCACCGCCTCCTCTTCCCCATCCTCTCGCCGGAAATTTGCCTCCTCCTCCTTCTACTCACGCGCCATACGCCTCGCGACACCGTCCCCGCGCGTCGAAACCTTGAAATGCTGCTGTAGTTTACCTACGCGTGTCACAGAGCCCTCGTCAAAGGATTCTCTCCTTAAATCACTTGCGAAGTCTCTCTCCTTGGCCTCCGTTTCCTCCGCCGCTTCCTTCTTTCTCCTACGAAACTCGCCTCTCCCGTCGATTCTGAGCGGCGGCGGCGGAGACAGTGGCAATTTCGGCGGGTTTGGAGGAGGATCCGGCGGAGGTGGCGGTGGCGGGGATGGAAATGACGGTGGATTCTGGAGGGAATTGTTGTCTCCGGCGGCGGCACTTGCGGATGAGGAACAGTCGCCGGATTGGGATTCTCACGGGTTGCCGGCGAACATCGTGGTGCAGTTGAACAAGCTTAGTGGTTTCAAAAAGTACAAGATCTCCGAGATTCTGTTCTTTGATCGGCGGCGACAAGCCACTGTTGGCACAGAGGATTCCTTCTTCGAGATGGTCTCGATACGACCAGGCGGTGTGTACACAAAGGCCCAGTTGCAGAAGGAGCTCGAAACTCTAGCTACTTGCGGAATGTTCGAGAGAGTCGAGATGGAAGGGAAGACGAAGCCTGATGGAACCCTAGGGCTTACAATCTCCTTCACGGAGAGCACGTGGCAATCGGCGGAAAGATTCCGATGCATCAACGTGGGGCTAATGCAGCAATCGAAGCCGATAGAGATGGATTCGGACATGACGGATAAGGAGAAACTGGAATACTACAGGAGCCAGGAAAAGGACTACAAGCGGAGGATTGACCGGGCACGGCCGTGTTTAATTCCCGGAGATATTCACGGCGAGGTTATGCAGATGCTGAGGGAACAAGGGAAAGTCAGTGCGAGGCTGCTTCAGAGGATCAGGGACCGAGTTCAGCAATGGTACCACGATGAAGGGTACGCTTGTGCTCAGGTTGTGAATTTTGGGAATTTGAACACGAAGGAGGTTGTTTGTGAAGTTGTGGAAGGAGACATAACTCAGCTAGTTATCCAGTTCCAAGATAAGCTCGGTAATGTGGTCGAAGGTAACACCCAGATTCCTGTCGTGCGCAGAGAATTGCCCAATCAGGTCTGTGCAGGAACCGGATTAGGATTTCTTTGCATTGTGCTTGCAAACTGATAATGGTAGAAAATGTTTGCGAATTCAAGTTAGGGACTTTCAGTAAGAGTTAATGATTGCTTTCATGAATTCTCTTGTTCATTCAAATTACAGAAACTAATCTAAAGCTATAACGAGTTTTACTCTTTATCTGCCACATTGGCTTGTTTGGTTCTTGCATTTTACGAACTTGTGACAAAATGGTTCCTTTATGCTTAGTTGGTGTGTGTATATATTGCTGTTAGTTTGGTAATATCTTCTGTATGTGTTTGACAGCTCCGTCAAGGTTATGTTTTCAACATCGAAGCTGGAAAACAAGCTCTTAGGAACATAAACACCTTGGGATTATTCTCCAATATCGAAGTCAATCCACGTCCGGATGAGAAAAATGAAGGGGGTATTATCGTGGAGATTAAGCTTAAGGAGCTAGAACAGAAATCGGCTGAAGTCAGTACAGAATGGAGTATTGTCCCTGGGCGGGGAGGAACTCCAACCTTGGTATGCACTATAGATTTACCTGCTTTACTGGCAAACTCTGAAATCATAGATCTAAATCTAAGTGTAAAACTTTCAATTACATACTTTATATATAATTTTTTACCTTGTTTCAGGCTTCGATCCAACCAGGAGGGTCTGTAACTTTTGAACATCGGAACCTCCAGGGTCTAAACAGGTCTATCATGGGTTCAATAACCACTAGCAACTTCTTAAATCCTCAGGTACATACAGTTGGCATGCGTTTCTGATACATGTTTTGTTCAATATTTAGTCTGATTCTATTCATTCATCTAACACTGTTTGTGTCTGCTTTCTAAGACGAATAATGCCTACCAATCTTTTTTCTTTTCTTCAGGATGATCTCTCGTTTAAGCTTGATTATGTCCACCCATACTTGGACGGTGTCTATGATCCTCGTAACCGTACCTTCAAGACAAGCTGCTTCAATAGTCGAAAACTTAGCCCTGTGTTCACTGGTGGACCAGGCGTTGAGGAAGTGCCTCCTATTTGGGTAGATCGAGCTGGTATCAAAGCCAATATAACTGAGGTGAGTAGCAAAAGCCCGTACTTAATGAAATCATGAACATTTTCTCCTACAAACTCCGGAATCAATCATTCTTGTCTTGCAGAATTTCACTCGTCAGAGCAAGTTCACGTATGGACTTGTAATGGAAGAGATAACGACAAGGGATGAAGGCAGTCATATTGCTGCGAATGGTCAGAGAGTTTTGCCTAGCGGAGGAATCAGTGCCGATGGACCTCCAACCACTCTCAGTGGTACTGGTATTGATCGTATGGCCTTTCTACAGGCCAATATCACCCGTGACAACACCAAGTTTGTGAATGGGGCCGTTGTCGGAGAGAGAAATGTCTTTCAGGTTTGTTTATCAGAAAATTGGTTAGTGTTGAGATAAATGAAGAAAATGGTGACTTAGAACACAAGAAAGCCAAAAACTGACGTATGAAGATTCGGATGAAACTTCGATTAACCCTTGATTTCCTATCCTTGCCACATTGTTTCTTGTGCTCCATGTCTGATCCGAGTCATGTGATGAACTCGGTCTTTGACTTCCTTGTGTTCCAAGTCACCATATTCTCTTCATTTATCTCAACAGTTAGTTTATTGTTTTGTTTTTTGATCGATGATAAAGTCGGGAAATTTGTTATTTTTTTGCGGCAAATCGAGAAATACCACAAATGATTATATAATCCTCGATTTGTCATTCTTTACTTTTTCATGATTCATTTCATCTATACACACATTTTACATGGTGCACATATATATGCTTTAGGTGGATCAAGGGCTGGGAATTGGGAGCAACTTCCCATTCTTCAACCGTCACCAGCTAACCTTGACAAGATTCATTCAGCTGAAGGAAGTAGAAGAAGGAGCTGGTAAGCCGCCTCCACCGATTCTAGTCCTCCATGGCCATTACGGTGGTTGTGTAGGCGACCTCCCAAGTTATGATGCTTTTGTCCTCGGTGGCCCTTACTCTGTCCGTGGTTACAACATGGGTGAGCTCGGTGCATCCCGAAATATTCTCGAGGTAAACAACTTACAAATCTAACAAAGCCTTATTTCCCATTACCCAGTTCACGGTTCTTCTGAAAAATAAAAAAAATAAAATCCGGAATATATCTAATGGATTACAATCTCGTGAAACTCAGCTCGGTGCTGAGATTAGAATACCGGTGAAGAACACGCATGTATACGCCTTTTGTGAGCACGGAAGCGACCTGGGAAGCTCAAAGGATGTGAAGGGGAACCCAACAGAAGTGTACAGGAGAAGGGGGCATGGTTCTTCCTACGGTGTCGGAGTAAAACTCGGTCTAGTTCGAGCAGAGTACGCCTTTGACCACAACAACGGCTCTTCTGCACTCTTCTTCCGGTTTGGAGAGAGGTATTGAGGTACTCTACTAGTAAACTTTAAATGTACCCTTTAAGAACCCTTTTTTTAGATTTTTTCCATTTTTTATCTTTCTTGTCTTCAAGCTCTTCCAAATCATTTTGATGTGCCTTTGTTCACATTTTTGAAAGAATCCATGTTAAGAGCAAGTGTCCAAATGTATGATTTATTTACATCATCACGCTCCATACATATTTCTCTGCACATTGGATCGGATCTTTCCTTTTCTACGATTGAATGTGAGGTTTTGGTTAAAGCTCTCGTCCCTTTTTCCGGTTCATCTTTACCATGGGTTCAACTTCCTTCTCCGGGAACACATTAAGTTACAGTTTAACTGAAACGTGTCTGGTAATTGCCGTCCTCGTGCGAGTTCTCATAAAGCTTCAAACTTTACTTTAACCCATGAAAAGATTTTCGAATATACTCTGTTCGTTTCAGTCATTGTCTGTTGATTCCATCAATGAGCTCGTCGAGACCAGTGGTCAAAGATCGATTGCTGAAACCAGAGGCTACGCTCTGGGCTTTGTCCGTGGTGGAGACGCTAGGAAGGTGTTCGATGAAATGCCCAGAAGAGATTTCATTCGTTGGGTTGTGATGATTGGAACATTTGCTGGAAATGGGTATTCTCAGGAAGCAATAGTTGCTTCTGGACAAATGTAAAGAGAGCGGCATTCATGATTCCTAGCATTCTAAAAGCCACTGGGAATCCAGTTGCCCGAGAATTTTGGTAAGATGATACAATGTCTGGTCTTTTAATTATTCACTTGACTGTGATGATGCTTTTGCGGTGAGTTCACTGATTGATATGTTCTCGAAATGTGGGGAAGTGGACACTCCAAAACACATTTCAGTAATTTTGCCGAAAAAGATTTGGCGGCCTTTTGGGTTATGTTCACAACAGATGAGCAGAAGCAGCCTTGGACTCGTTGAAGGAAATGAAGGTATTCGGCATACAATCCTGATATGTTCACTTGGAATGCCCTAAATCACAGGTTTTGCACAGATTTTGGATGAAGATCGAGTCTCATAGTTAATTAGATTGATATGTTTGGATGGGCGCTGAGTCACCATTAGTACTCACAGAGATGCTTCTGTTTTAGGTTCTCACTGTCCATTTGTCAAGAAAGTGTAAAGGTAACCGCCTAGAAGATGACGGAACATTTAAGTGTCTTAAAACTTCTTTGGCATCTTCTGTTTTGTCTTTTTGAAATTGTTGGCAGAGGTAGAGATGCAAGGCCCACACCCGAGAGGACATGCTAATCCACATGTTCACTCTCTGGTGCTAGAGTACGCACAATAATGCATATAAGAGAATCCATTTTTCATGGCTCTCATAGGGTAGCCAGGAAACACAAATCTGAGCACGTGTTAACCAAGGAAATTGTTCTGAGCTGTTTCAGTGTTCTTTTGGCAATTGGAGAAGTGAAAAAGGAGAGAGATTTCAGAAATGGAGGAAAAGGCGGGGAGACGGGTAGTGTTAGTTCCAGTTCCAGCACAAGGTCACATAAATCCAATGATGCAACTCGGAATAGCCCTTCACTTGAAGGGCTTCTCCATCACAGTTGCTCTGACCGAGCTCAATCACTTGACCTCCCCTTGGGAAGATTTCCCTGATTTTCAGTTTGTTACCATAATGGGTGGCTTATCGGAGTCTGAGTTCAAGAAACTCGGACCAGTTGAGTTTCTGATTAAGCTCAATGACATGTGTGAGTCGAGCTTCAAGGACTGTTTGGGTCAGTTGTTGCAGCAGAAACAAGGTAATGACATTGCCTGTGTCATCTACGATGAGTATATGCATTTTGCTGAAGCTGCAGCCAAGGACTTTAATTTTCCGAGTGTCATCTTCAGCACTACGAATGCAACGGCTTTCGTTTGCCGCTTCTTACTAGGGAGATTCAAGGAGAATTGGTTCTTGGCTCTCTTGAAAGGTACCTCTGGATTCTCTGTATCTGATTTGCACAAATCTCTGAACTCTTGTAGGGCTGTAAGCATGGTTTTGTTCTTTATAGAACCAGGAGAGCAAGACAAGTTGGTACCAGAGTTTCATCCCCTCAGGTACAAGGACCTACCAACTTCTGCATTTGCGCCATTAGAGAGCTCATTGAAGCTATACACTAATGTAGTCAACAAAGGAACAGCTTCTGCTGTTATAATCAACACAGCAAGCTGCCTTGAGAGCTCGTCTCTGTCAAGGCTGGAACAGGATTTGCAAGCTCCAGTTTATCCGATTGGCCCTCTTCACAAGGCGGCTTCAGCTTCTTGTAGCCTACTGGAAGAGGACAGGAGCTGCATTGAATGGTTGAACAAACAGAAACCAAGCTCAGTCATATACATAAGCTTGGGAAGCTTGGCTTTGATGGAACACAAGGAAGTGGTGGAGATGGCCTGGGGATTGGCTAACAGTAACCAGCCTTTCTTGTGGGTAATCAGACCAGGTTCCATCCCCGGTTCAGAGTGGACAGAGTCATTGCCTGAAGAGTTCGGTAGAATCGTTTCAGAGAGAGGGCACATTGTGAAATGGGCACCACAGAAAGAGGTACTCTCCCATTCTGCAGTCGGATGCTTTTGGAGCCATTGTGGATGGAACTCGACATTAGAGAGCATAGGGGAAGGAGTTCCATTGATATGTAGGCCATTTTCAGGGGATCAAAGGGTGAATGCTAGGTACTTGGACAGAATTTGGAGAGTAGGGATTCAACTAGAGGGTGAGTTGGAGAGAGGAGATGTTGAGAAAGCTCTGAGAAGGTTAATGGCCGATGAAGAAGGGGTTGTAATGAAGAAGAGAGCTCTCTGTTTGAAGGAGGGAGTCGAAGCCTCTGTTAGGCATGGAGGCTCTTCACACAACTCGTTAAATGAGTTTGTCGATTTCATCAAGGGATTGTGAAGTAGTTTAACGATATAAGGGTAGGGGATAAGGAAATCAAGGCAGAATCATCATTGAAACAATCTTATACGATATGATTGTATTGAAAAACAATATTTTCATTAAAAAAAAATTACTGAATCGGAGAGTTTGGCATTAATGAAGTGATTGAGGAATATGAATTTATTACAGCTTTCCACATAAATACGCTAATTTTAAAATTTTCGTAAACATATACTGTCATGCCCCGTTCTATAATTAAATCATACGTTTTTTTTTATGTAACGTAATTTTCTGCGAATTCTTGTAAAATGTCATGTTTTTTATGAAAAATTTTGTAAGAATTTTATTAGGAACAGAAAATCATATGTTTTTCGATAATTTTAAAATTTGTATATCAATTTCATTGGAAACGAAGTAACAAATTTAAGAGGTTTTTAGTATTGTTATCGCTCAACCAAAATGAAAAGAAACACTAATTCGAGGCCCTAAAGACAGAACCCCTCACGGTTCTTCTACTTCTTGTCCTTTTATGTAACTCCCCCCACATGCAAATCCACACACACCCACGTGCTTCACTTCTGGGTCTCAATGTCCGAGCTTTCTTCTCTCTGTCTTGGTTGCAGATAAGTACTTGATCTTCAAGTCCAAACCCTAATCAGATACACAGAACTTCTCAGAGTATCTGATCTTTACGCTGATCTTGCCGGCTGGTCTGACAAAACGTCTCGCCTCTAACCATAAACCAGAAAACATCTACAATCACTTTAACTTAACACCCAGATCTCCATTCCATCTAAGCCATTACAGAAGTGAGAGAGTTTGGTCTCGGAAATGGAGGAAAAGGCGGTAAGAAGAAGGGTAGTTTTAGTTCCACTCCCAGCACAAGGGCACATATCTCCGATGATGCAACTGGCTAAAGCCCTTCACTTGAAGGGTTTCTCCATCACAGTTGCTCAGATCGAGTCCAATCCCCTGACCGTTTCAGATGCTGATGATTTCCCCCATTTCCGGTTCGTAACAATACCGACCAGCTTACCGGAACCTGAACTCAAGATTGTCGGGCTGGTTGAGTTTCTGACGAAACTCAACGAAATCTGTGCGGTCAGTTTCAAGGAATGTTTGAGCAAATTGTTGCAACAGCAGCAAGGTGATGATGATGGCATCCCATCATGTGTCATCTATGATGAGTACATGTACTTCTCTGGAGCTGTTTCTAAGGAACTAAAGATTCCGAGTATCGTCTTCAGCACTACCAATGCCACAGCTTTCATCTGCCGCTCTGCACAAGGGAGAAACAACACAAATGAGTTCTTGGCTCCCTTGAGAGGTACTCTGGTTTAGGGTTTTCAGTTTCAGACCTTCAGTAGTATATATAAATATTATCCTAACAGAGCGGTTTTCGACCATTGCAGAGCCCGGGGGTCAAGACAAGCTGGTACCAGGGTTTCATCCCCTCAGGTACAAGGACCTTCCAACTTCTGCATTTGCACCATTAGAGAGCTTAATGAAGCTGTACGCGAATGCAGCCCAAAAAAGAACAGCTTCTGCTGTTATAATCAACACGGCAAGCTGCCTTGAGAGCTCGTCTCTGTCAAGGCTGGAACAAGACTTGCAAGCTCCAGTTTATCCGGTTGGCCCTCTTCACATGGCGGCTTCAGCATCTTGTAGCCTGCTGGAAGAAGACAGGAGCTGCATTGAATGGTTGAACAAACAGAAACCAAGCTCAGTCATATACATAAGTTTGGGAAGCCTGGCTTTAATGGAACACAAGGATATGATGGAGATGGCTTGGGGATTGGCTAACAGTAACCAGCCTTTCTTGTGGGTAATCAGACCAGGTTCCATCTCCGGTTCAGAGTGGGCAGAGTCATTGCCTGAAGAGTTCAGTAGAATTGTTTCTGAGAGAGGGCACATTGTGAAATGGGCACCACAGAAAGAGGTACTCTCCCATTCTGCAGTAGGATGCTTTTGGAGCCATTGTGGATGGAACTCAACATTAGAGAGCATAGGAGAAGGAATTCCATTGATATGTAGGCCATTTTCAGGGGATCAAAAGGTGAACGCTAGGTACTTAGACAGAATTTGGAGAGTAGGGATTCAACTAGAGGGTGAGTTGGAGAGAGGAGGTGTTGAGAAAGCTCTGAGAAGGTTAATGGTGAATGAAGAAGGGGCGGCTATGAAGGAGAGAGCCCTGTGTTTGAAAGAGAAACTAAAAGCCTCCGTTAAACCCGGAGGCACCTCCCACAACGCATTAGATGAGCTTGTTAGTTTCATCAAGACACTGCAATACAAATAGTTCCTTGTCACTTCCCCATATCTTTTAGTGAAACAAAAGGTGGAGCCTCTGTTGAAAAAGAGGTTTTTTCAGACAGCATAAGAGGTCTTTGACAATTCAGTTTGATTGAGGGAAGCTATGTAGGATCAACCCAACTCCTTTTTTACTTACATATGTACTATGTTGTTCTAGAAGAATCTGCCCCTTTTGGAAGAAATATGCACTCGGCCCTCCAGTGCCTGCATAAAATAATTTCAAGATAAGGTTGGTATGCGATGCATGATGTGCAAAGGACAATATAATATGCCAAATAAAAAGCAGTTGGAAGGTCATGCTTTTAAAACTCGTTTATTCCAAAAAATGAATCAGCAAATACTAAACAACACATACCACTTGATCGGCATCACAACTCATGGACTTGTCTGTAACAAATCGGTGTCTGTCCGGAGAGATTCTCTGTTACCTGAAATCGAAATCGGAGCTGAAAAAGCTCTTGTCAGATTATCAACATCTCAAAAATTAGAATCCTATGGATAAAATCAGGCACCTTTTGTGAGCAAATACCTTCGCTTTTGTTCACACATTCCAGCAAAAAGAGGGGAAAAGAGTAACTTAGCTTTTGTTGGAATGTCTTTTTCTCCCTTTTGTTGGAAGCTTATTGGAGTGAGTGACCCTCAAACATAATGAAAGGTCATTGCTTTCTTGAATACAGAAAAGCAAAAGGGTGCAATGCGGATAATATAATGGGCATTCTTCCAAAGATTGAATAGAATTGTATATTCAAACAAATTCCATATGACGAATAAAAAGTCAACAAACTGAGCAAACACGAGAGTCTGTCTGATGCTATCTTCCTTATCTCTAGGAAGTTAAACAGTTAACCAACCGAACAGACACGAGACTGACCGATAATGCTTATCTTCCTTGTCTCTAGAAAGTCTACAGACGATATGCAAAGAGATTTACCTTTCAAAAAGCCAGAGAATATGGAGCTTTTCCACTCAGAAAAACCCTAGAAGTATGTCAAAAAATGCCCATTATGGTCACTTAAAAGCGTATTCGCATATCGTATCTGGATTCTACTGAGTACTGAGTGCATCATTCTCCAAGAATACTGATGGGTTTTGCTTCCACACGACTCTTGTACAATCCTATGTCGACGGCAGCCCAAACAAAAATAAAAGTTCTCGGCGGATGTGGAAAGGGGGAAAGGTACCAGAGACAAGAACCTGTAACCAGTTTCAAATAAAAAGGTTAAGATTTGCACAGAAGCTAAACATTTTCAGAAGAGTTTAACTAATACCTGACTGATCTTTACCTGAAGCCGAAAGTTTTCACTGAGACAGAAAACAGATAGGGGAGAAGAGCTTTATGATGGATAAGTGTACTTCAGTATTGCCAACTCTTTTGCAACCACATACATTCACAAGCAGAGACATTTCCATTTTCCGTCCACTGACTTGTCGAAAATCTCTTATCCAAATCCAAAGAGGGAAACCAAAAGAATAGAGTTCAAGCAGTCTACCGAACTTTAGGTAACAGGTTCTCGTGAATACATTCATTTCTTACTGTACAGCAATGAATCCTTTATGATCTGTCTATAAGCAAATCAAGAGAACACACTCATCCAACATGAACCATAGCTTCAGCCACACAAACTATAACAAGGACAATCAACACAGGTAGCCACAGCAAAAGTCCACTCAGTTACTTAGAGGTGATCAGAGTAAAGAAGATTTAGCTCTGAAGAACGAATAAACCATGAAACTGAACCGTAACACAAGAACAATAAATCTCTAATCACTACAATAGTGAATTGGATAGTTTTCTCCAGAAGAGATCTACTAATCTTGGCAATCAATTATTGGAAGTCAGCTCTGAAACTCGAAATTTCGGAAGAAAAAGCTCATAACGAGAGAAATGAGACAGCAGAGGCATAAAAGTTAATCACTTTAGTATACACGGAGGATAAATTCAGATCAAATGGTGTAAGAATCTAACTGTGTTTTAAACAAGCTCACCTATCTCTCTCTTCATGGAGTCAATTGTCGCCCCATGGATGTTTATTACTTGTCATTCACGCCACCACCGCCACCACCAACAGCAGGATAGGACGCCATGGATCCGTACTTATTCCCTGGCCAGTCCTTCTGCTGCATCATGAATGGATTCGATTCAAAGACACCAGAACCTCCAGTCCCATGATGATAGTGATCATGACCATGACTATGATGGTGGTGATGATGATGGTGATATCCTTGCATACCCATATACCCGTAGGCCGGTATCGGCGTCGGCATCATCGGCGGTGGCGCCCCGTATGGCACCGGATGCGGCAAACCCGTGTGCCCGGAAGCTCCGTTGACATGGTCGGAGCCTCCGCCTCCACCTGAGCCTCCTCCGTCGTGGAAGCTCTGTGGAGGCACCGGCGTTGACGAGAAGAGATGGTCGGAGGACGAAGGGCCGCCATCCGTGGTCAAGCCCTGCATCCGCTTGAGGTATAACCTGTACTTCTGCAGGTGAGACGCGACGTTCTCGCGAGTGAGCCCTTCAACGTTCATCAGCTGCATGATTGTCTTCGGCACTGCGTTTTTAATCCCCAAGTGAGCCACTACTTCCACGAATCTCTTGTGCAGCTGTGGCGTCCACACCAGACGCGGCCGCTTCACCGTCCTCGCCGATGGATCCTCTGTCCCAGAATCCGCCTCCTCCGCCACCATGGCTCCGCCGCCGCCGTCCGATTTCTTCTGCTTCTTCGGATCCGACCCGACCAGGTCCTCCGCCTCCGCGACAGTCGTTTTGAAGCTGTTGCTGTTGTCGTTGGAGGAGGAGCCGTTTCGGAGCGCCGAGAGCGTGGTCTGCGACGCGCGATTCACATCCTGGATCGTACGGCTCCGTTCAGGGGAGATACTGAAAGCCACCGCGAGCTCCGGCGGAACCAACGGCTGTGTCAACGGCATCAAATCCTCGCAGCTCGGGAGATCCATCTCCCACTCCATAACCCTATCTTCTCCGCCGGCGGCGTCGTCTCCTTCGCCGGGAACCTCGTACTCCGTCATCTTCACTTCCTCTCCCATTTTATCCCTCTCTTTTATCCAGAATTTCTTCACGGATTGAGGGTTATGAGGCTCAAAATCGGTGAGTCTTCGGATCAGAGATCGGAGAAGCACGGCGGAAAATTCGTAGAGCCTGTTTGGAAGGTGACAAAATTCGATAGTTTTTTCTCTGGTAAAAAGAAAGAAAAAAAAAAAGAGGAGAAAAAGTGCAATATCTGATTCCGGCCCTGGGTTATTGCCAACGTGGACGAGTTAGCCAGATATTTTAGATCTTCTAAATATCTATGCTCTCCAACATCTACTCGCTCTGTATGCTCGACACGTCTCAGTCCTACCAATCGCCATCTGCCACGTCACAAGTGTATTCACTTCTCGAGTAGTCCCGACTGTAGCTGATAAAAGCTGAAATTACCACACAGGGCACAGTGGGTTTGCAGATAAGTCGACGGGAAGAGACCAAGTAAGCGACCCCTGGGGGTGTTTTAGTAAAATTAAAGAAATACCGAAATTGACCCCAAAAGGCCCTGTGGGCCCATTAAAGAAGAGGGCAAAAACGGGTGAGTTTGGGCCAATAGCGGAAGAGAATGATGTAAACAGCTGGAGAGAGAAAAAAAATGGGAAGAAGATACTGTAAGGTCAGCGCACGAATCTGACACGTGAGCATGTTATATTAACCGTTGGATTTCGGTTTAAAGATATTTATGGAAGTATCTAGGATCAATCTAACGGTGGAGAGACCAGGACATGGCGTGAATAAATAAGAACCGACTCTCCACATTAACTACCCCCCCATAGGCAATTGCAAATTGCAATTAGGGATGCCATTATTCCCAAACAATTATATCGAATTAAATTAATTCAAAATATCCATCCTTTGCAAGTTTGAAATAATTAAATTAGCTTACATCGTTCATCGATTCAATACATCAGTTCACTTGCAACATTAATATGTCCGAGTTTCTCTAATAATAATATATATTTAAGTAGCTAGAGATAAATTATATTTAATAAAAGATTGTGAAATCTATATTGGAAATCATGCTGTCTCAATGTTAGACTTTACAGAAAAAGTGTCATTTTTATAAATTTCATTGACAGTAGCTTTCGAGTTGTGCCTGTGTAATGAAGCACCATGATTCCTTCCTAGAGCAAAAGGGAAGGCCCGTTGAAACGGTGCCGTTTGAGAAGGAAGAAGCGGATGAAATGGGCCCCACATACAAACCGTGGCGGTCCATTTTGAATTTTCTTAGTCCCACGTTTGGTCAAACATCTCACGCGCCTGACGCTCCTACTCCTTGACCGCCGTTAATAACTCCGTCATCTCTACCCAATCAGAACACGCCACGTTACCGTCTTCCGTCTCATCCGACGCCATTACTCTCGCGTTATAAAATCACGTTTTCGTCCACCCTCACCATTTACTCGGTCAGAGATCTTTTCTCTGCTCTTCTTCTTCAGATTCACTCCGCCGACGAAATTCCAGAAATGCCGTCGACGACGACGACGGCTCCGATTACAACGTCTTATTGGTGCTACAGTTGCACACGTTTCGTCAGCGCTTGGACCGACCAAGACGCAACCGCCGCCGCCGGCAGCGTTTCGTGCCCGTACTGCGACGGCGGTTTCATCGAGGAAGTCGAAGACTCCACCGTGGCTGCTGCAACTTCCGAAGTGAGATCGGTCAATCATACACGTCGATCTATGATCCGTCGGCGGAGATCTGTTCGCCGCCCGTCTTTCAACCCTGTCATCGTCCTCCAAGGCGGCGGAGGAGCCAGCGAGAGAGATGACGGCGAAGCCGGAGACGGAGCTAGGGATCGCCGTGCTTTGGAGTTTTACTATGATGATGGATCCGGTTCGGGCTTGAGACCCCTTCCGGATTCTGTATCCGAGATCTTGATGGGATCTGGTTTCGAGCGGTTGCTGGAGCAGCTGAGCCAGATTGAGGCGACGACCACCGGAATCGGCCGGTCCGGGAACCCACCGGCGTCGAAATCGGCGATCGAATCTATGCCGAGGATCGAGATCTCAGCCGGCCACGTCAACACCGACACCCACTGTGCCGTTTGCATGGAGGCGTTTGAGCCGGGCTCCGAGGCACGTGAGATGCCCTGCAAGCACATTTTCCACGGAGACTGTATCGTGCCATGGCTCTCGATCCGGAACTCGTGCCCCGTTTGCCGGTTCGAGCTACCGTCGGAGCCGATCATCCGGAGCAACGACAACAACAACGCGGAGGAGGAACATACAGTCGGGATGACGATCTGGAGGCTTCCTGGCGGCGGATTCGCCGTCGGGAGATTCAACGCCGCAATGAGAGACGGAGAGAGAGTGTTGCCGGTGGTGCTGACAGAGATGGACGGCGGAGGGCTCGGGAACAGCGACGGACCTAGACGTATCTCGTGGGTTAGAGCGAATGGGACACCGGATACCGGCGGTGGTGGCTCCGGCTCCGGCGGGAGATTGAGGCGGGTTGTTCGAGGAATGGTCTCGTTCATGAGGAGGGTGAGGCCAAATCGTGGGTCTTCGTCTCCATCACCGTTTCCTAATGCTTTGGATTTGAACACGGAAGGTGAATCTAGTAGGGTCTTGGAACGATCAAATTCCTTGTTCGGAAGATATTTCCGGCGAACCAGAAGTAGCAGAGAATCAGTCCTTCAGTGAGAGAACTAGAAACACAAAAAATCATGAATTTTCTCAATTCTTTTTCTTTTGTTCATTCAACAGTGTAAATATGATTCCAGATGGAAGATTGAAACGTTTCCCCCATAGAATCGGATTTCATTATTCGTCGATTGCATTGGTTTTGGAAGCAGATGTATATGTGCATCATTATTTAATTAATCCTATTTCAGCATCAAGCCAAAGATTTGATCTTTTGGACCAAATTCTCGATATTCCCAAGAAATTTGACCGTTTGGTTGCCGAGAAAATGCGAGAAAGTGGATACGGAGGAAAGAACATAGAGATAAGATAATCGCCCTTTTCCTCGGCAGCTGAGAAAAAACACGGAAAAGAAGAAAGATTGCGAGGAAAGATGCCAAAGTTGTTCTTGGCTAAGGTTGTAAACTTTGAATTCAAATTCAAAAGAGACATAATTTAAGTCCCACTGTATACCCTAAACCCATATTGAATTACACAATTTAAAGTTCCATTTCTACTAATTGAAATTTTTTTTGTAATTATCACGTTTTTCAAATTTACAACATTATTTGAACCATAAAAATCATATGGTTTATAATTATATATCTTCTCCTGTACTGGACCCTGCTATGGGCAGAAGTAAAACAATTCACGTGGATAATAATTCTTCAACAGACTTGTTTTCCCCCGTTCGCAACATTTAATTTCATAAATGTATATGTTATGGGTAGATGTTATATTATAGATCCTAGCTGTCATTTAATCACCGATTCGTCGTCATTGACTGCATCATCGGTTGATGATCTGAATTATTTTTATTTGAATTTTTATTGGAATATAAAAAAGGTGGATATGCAAATGCAATGCAGGTCCAAATTATTTAATTATTAGTTTCCAGCAAACTGCCGGTTTGATGAAAGGTACCATTTGTAGGTTGTAACCAATTAATACTATGTATGTTACAGGGGAATCCCCAACTCTGTTGGTTTGATAGCCCCCTTCCTATAAATGAGGTCGTGGGTTCAACATCCAGAGTATAGAGATTCCCCTCCTGTCATCTTTGGGCTTGGGATCACCCGATTATAAAAAAAAAATATGTATGTTAGTCAGTACGTAGATATATATTTTCTTTATTTAAAAAATCTAATATGGATGGACCACTATATACGACTGTGTCGCAACGGCCCATATACTTGGATCATCTGGTCCAACACAATCACAATTTCACGGTTGGACCCGGTTCGGTTCGTGGATACCAACGACGACAGCTTGAGCCCGGTTTGTTTCGGTTAGGGTTAGAGTTTGTTTGTCACTTTGTAGTACAGCTCCCATGTGTTACCGTTGTACTAATTACAGCAGGTCTATAAAGTCAACGTTGTACTACAAACACACATATATACTTACATGCAAGTACAAATAATATATATATATATACATAAACATAATCATATATAGGTGCTGCTCTTTCCGTATATGTACATATATATATACACGAAGAACCCAACAATTCGTATAACAAAACACATTAACCGATCATGGCTTCCTCTGTCTTCTTCTCCATGAACTCTGCCAAAACCCTAAAGTCAACACTTTTATCGGTGGCGTGTCTCTTCCTCTGCTTCTCCTTGATCATAGCCCACAGCGGCTCCGACCACAACCACGACGAAGAACAGGCCGGATATGGAGGCTCCTCCTCCGCCGGAGATAATCTCCGGTCAAAAAGCTTGATACTAGTGAAGATATATTGCTTGATCATCCTCTTCTTCTCCACGTTCGTCGCCGGAATATCTCCCTACTTTTACCGGTGGAATGAGCCATTTCTCCTCCTCGGAACTCAATTTTCCGGCGGAGTTTTTCTGGCCACCGCCTTCATCCACTTCCTCAGCGACGCCAACGAGACTTTCCGTGGCTTAGGTAATGTAAACCCTCCACTTATATATATAATTCCCATTGGATTTAAGCAAATGATTCATCAAAAACTCGTATAAAAATGTTTAAAAAAAAATAACAGTCTAAATATATATACACTGTCGTGTGTATATATATATAACCGTATCTTTGTTGATTTGATCTCTCCACGTACGTTAACTATCATATACACTCTCCATCGATATATATTCATATCGGGTTTTTTTCCGTACATACATATATAAACTAAACTAACTATATATAAGATATAACAATCTAGGGCACGATGAGTATGCGTACGCGTTCATGCTAGCGTCAGCAGGGTTCTGTCTGACGATGTTGGCTGACGTCATCGTGGCGTCGGTGACCGGAGGAGAGAGAAAGGTGGCCGTGAAGGAGGAGGAGGAAGGGGAAACTCCTCCGGCGGCGAGGTGCGGAGACAGAGAGGCGAACCCTTTGTTCCTGAGAACATCCGGTTTCGGAGACACTGTGTTGCTTATCCTCGCCCTGTGTTTCCACTCCGTCTTCGAAGGAATCGCCGTTGGTGTTTCAGGTGACGCGAAGCTTTTTTCTCCATTAATTAATCACTCCTTAATTACATATGATATTCAATTTAATATCATTAATTAACATCTTGTTTTTTCTGTAAGGAGTTTAGTGGTTCGTTAGTGTTTCTTGAATTGTTGATGTTGTATGTATGTATTTGAATTATGGAACTTTACCCATCTAATTCTATATAGGCTGAATTAACCGATAATATATTCTAGTGGGTTTAGGGTTTCGTGTGTTTTGGTATGGTTGGTCGCTTTTCTTACAGTTTTAGGGTAATTAAGTAGCATTGGTATAGTGGACCGTCATGAAATTACAATTCACGAGACGGGTAGATATGAAAATTCATGGGTTATATATATAACCATTAAATATGCATATACACAATGATCCAATATTTTACACACTGTGGTTTGGATTGGTTTTCTTGAAAATCCCTCCAAATTTGAGTTTACTCTTTTCTCATTTGAGCTTCCATTTATTTGAATTATCCATCTTCCATTTATTTCATTATATATACACACACACACACACACGATATTAGAGGTATATACAGATATATCTGATTTTATAATCTCAATAGAAAACGTCCAGATTAATTCGTGTGTATATATATAATATCCTGGTAAAATCAGAGATATTTGTATATATCTTTCTAATATATGTGATCAACGATCTACGTAGACACGAAACGAGACGCATGGAGGAACCTGTGGACGATATCACTACACAAGGTGTTTGCGGCCGTGGCAATGGGGATAGCACTGCTAAAGCTAATACCGAAACGTCCCCTGCTATTGACGGTCGGATACTCGTTCGCTTTCGCCATTTCGAGCCCTATCGGAGTAGGAATCGGCATCGCCATCAACGCCACGACGCAAGGAGCCACGGCCGATTGGGTATACGCGATCTCGATGGGCATTGCCTGCGGCGTCTTCATCTACGTCGCCATTAACCATCTCATCTCCAAGGGGTATAAACCTCGCGAGCCTTGTTACTTTGATACACCCTTCTTCAAGTTCCTTTCTGTCTTCCTTGGTGTCGCTTTGCTCTCCGTCGTCATGATATGGGATTGACCATCATTCATCATCATCATCATCAGTTTGTGTGATGCATGTTGACTGAACAGATTCAAGACAAGAACTCGATCGAGATACTATATATTCCTATGTATTTGTCTCTCTTTTATTTATTTTTTTTTGTTCCAGTTTATACACTCGTGGACGCTCTAATGTTTTGTTTCGAATGACTCCTGTATTGAATGAAAGTAGATCATATATATATGATCACAGCTTTTGTATGGTGCATACATGTATGCATGTTTATGTGTGCATGCATATATATGTCTGTAGGTAGGGGTATCGGCTCGCGAGCCGGCTCGTGGCTCGTCAGAAAACGAACGATCTGAGCCACAAATTTTTTAGCTCATTAAAAAACGAGTCTAACGAGTCAGGCTCATTGAACACGTGTTCAATGAGCCTGGCTCGGCGAGCTGTTTAACGAGTTCACTTTTTTTTTAAAAAAATTTAAATTTATATAAAAAAACTCCAATATAATTTTATATTTCTTTTTTTTATATTATTCATATGATATTATAAATATTCTAATTATTATGATGGTGATAATTGCAAATATTAAATGAAAATTAGAGTAGAAATATGAAAATATTATTAAAATATATTTTGTTGTTATTATCTATTTAAATTATTTTTTATTGAACTATTATTAAATTTTTTTATCTTTTGAAATCTTAATCAATATTTTTTTTATATAGTTTATGGTATTAGAGTTTTATTAATTTTTTTTATGTATTTATTTAAATTTATAGTTAAATTTGAAATAAATATAAATAAAAATATTATATATTTTTTGTTCAACGAGCTGGCTCGTTCAGATCGGAAAACTGGCGAGCGATCTGAGTCGAAATTTTTCTGGTTCGTTAGAAAACGAGCCTAACGAACTGAGTCCAAAACGATTCGAGCCAAAGGAGTCGAGCCTCAAACGATCCGAGCCGGCTTGTTTGACACCCTATGTGTAGGTAGCCTATTTAAATTAAGGGGGCAGTTTGGGCGTAAAGTTGGTCTGCCTATGGACCGGGGCAACACTGAATTTCCAATATAAGGTAAATACGTTGCTCGATAAGAGTTCATGATATAATTATTGACGCTTTACACCGACACGTTCTTGAATGCGAACACTGATTCAGTTTCCTTTATTTCATATTTACATTATTTACTTGTCTTTTAAATTCTCAAGGTTTGCAGAGGGAATCTCTCTAACGTCAATAAAAACGAACGCGGACATTACAAAATTGTACAAAAAAAATAACAAAATGGAAAAAAGGTTACAAATTAAGTATAAAAAACAATAGATGAGAAATCGTATGTGTTCGTTCACAAGTATTATGGAAATAAAGAAAAAAAAAGTGCTATTTTTATGGGCTTTATATATATATATATATATATATATATATAACATCATATTCGATTAGATATTCATGTAAAAATTCTACCAATCATTCACATGAAACATTCAGATATCGAGATTACCAATATTTCGAATTCGACATCGACATGGACAAGTTCCATGTCACACATTTTAAAGTTCACATGCACTATTATTAATACAAAAATATTCGGTACAAAATCATCATCATCATCATCATCATCATCATCATCATTTCATTGCAATGGAACTCACCATGTGGCCCATCGCTTAGTTAACAAAGGAAGAGGAAAAACATAGAGACAGTGATGGGTAGAGAACATTTTACTTAAATATACATTACTGAACTAAAAAGACATCAGTGACCTGCAGTTCCAAACATAAACAAATTTGCCCATAACCAAAAACAGTCAGAGACCTCGGGAAACTAGGTTTGGACAACACAGCAACTACTCAGACAGCATATACATATATATATATATATATAAGTGTTCAATAATCATCAGGGAATCTTCAAGAATGGTTTCAGAACAGAAACTAGAAAGGGACTAAGAAGAAGAAGATGAAGGATCCATTACCTGCGTGTTCTTTAGGAGATCTGCACACTTGAAGAACAGTAGCCATGTATTTGCCGATGCAGCATCATCAAGATTCCCATTTGAAAGGATCCTTTCGAGTTAGGAGATGGGTGAGTCAATACCACCCAAAAAAAAAACCTAACCCAATTTAAACTCCTTTCTGTGAATCTTGATGATACTGCACCTGCAAGTACCAGCAGGTTGGTGACACCCAAGATCAAGATCTCCTGCCTTCCATCTTAACCACACCTCACTAATGATGGAAACTCTTCCATGTTTCACCATCAAATGAACAAACAGAGAGGGGAAAAAAAACAAACAAGATCGCACTGTACAACACCCACTCCACCATAGAAGCATCTTTCAGAACATGAAACTAAGATACCATCAAGGTGGGGGATAAGCTCTGATAAGAGACAAGTGACCGAGGTGAAGCAGAAGAAGCTATGAACATGTATACAAAAAGATAGTTACACAAAAGGTAACTATCAATATATCCAAGCCTATTTCTCTGTACATGTGTCAGAAACACAAGCAGGCAAGAGAAAGACTGGCCAAAAAGACATGGCCGTCTCTCATGAAATACTTGAGGTTCTCAAGTGTTTTTGTACAGAGCATTCAGCTTTTTCTCCTATACCATGGCATGAAGTAGTCACTAAAGAAACATTTCCAGGTGGAGATGGATAATGGGTTGCATATGCAAAAGCCTGAGAAAAAAAAATTCAAAGGATGGAAGATTTACGCATACAAGTGTGATTAAGAAAGAGATTAGGATGTAAGATTATTAAACTAATCATGATTAGGATTTTTGCGTGTGATCTCTTACGTGTAAAGGCAAAACACATCAGAAAGCAGCCACTTTAGATTTCAACTGGATGATTAATATATTTAACATAGGGAATCAGTTAAGATTGCGTAATCTGTGGCAGTCAAAAGAGTAGGTCACATGTATCCAATTGCATGGAATAGAAAAATGAAAGTGGATTACAAACAAATCATGGATTATAAAAGTTAATTACCCAACAGATAAACCGATAGTGACCAAAGGATAAAAGAAAAAGGCACTGTGGAAGAACACAATCTACATGTTTCATCCCCAATCTTTACCCTCATAAGTTACAGCTATGGCCAATCAAGCTGACATGAGCTATAGTTGAATGTAAACACAAATTATCTTTGGTTATCATATGGGGTCGAAGTCTGAAAACAAAGAGATTCCATTGATAAGTGTCTGGAGAAAGAGAGGGATTTGGGACCAATATATAAGGAAGGTCAAACCTCCACTCTTAAGCTAGTTTTTGTGGTGGAGTTAGGGCCTAAACCTTATTAACCACTTGTCAATCAATTCCAGATAGCTGTTCCTATGAGTGAACTTTGAACTAAAGTAACAACTTCAACTCATGATAAAGACCTTGAGTTGGAAGAGAAGGAACCCATATATAGGATAAAGAAATTCTTTCTCAAAGCTCTAACATTCCCATCAAATGGACATGCTAATATATCGAATCGAATCATACATGTTTGATTGAAACATACCAGATAACAGATAACAAGATTCCTCCTCTGAGACAGCACTAATAAATAAAAGGGATGAACTTGTACCTAACCTTATTAGCATACTCCAAATAGCTTTGTCCGAAAGTCTCCACCATCAATGCCTCTTCCAACTTTGCCTTCTTGTCGTAATAAACCACACAAACCGCCGCAATAAACAACAGACTCAAAGGCGCCCTTAAAGCGATGCAGTAAGTTGCAAACAGAAGTATGGTAGATGCATATATCGGATGCCTAACCCATCTATAAGGGCCAAACTGCACAACAGCTGTTGGAACCACAACTTTCTCAGAGTAATTGGCAAGATATAGTGTAGAATCATACTGTGTCAGCATTGTAATCACGATCAAGATCCATATACCCACATTGGTCCAACCGCCTGGTAAACGGTGAAGCTCGGGCCCTTCAAAGGCTGCTAACCAATGACCAATCATAACGCCGACACAGAACATAAGGCGAGTCCATACGGACGTGTTCACGTCCCACTTGGGATCGTGAGAGCGGGCAAAATAATCACCATATAACCGTTTTCTCACGCTTACGTTGTAGAAGAAGAAGTAATGGTAAGCGAGGAAGAACACAAAGGGCCAACCTTCAAGATAGCCATTGAAATGTGCGGGTGGTACAAGTGTAAGCCATGTGAAAGCAGAAGTTACAATGGCGAGCTGCTCAAACCCATTGGCTTCTCCGAGCCAATGCTTGCGAAAACAGTACAACCCATAAACCGCAAGAGCAACAGCCACGAGCCAAGGCCAGAACAACCACGTCCAGCTGAAATACATCCAGAAGAATGGGTCGAAGACCAAATTCACAGTCTTTCTCGCAGCTACAATCAAAACCGATACAACAGCAGATAATTTCACGACATCAATAGGTTTCAACTGAGAGATTCTCTTCACCAATGAATCGAAAGACAGGGTTTTGAAAGGCTTAAACAACGGATTGTCGGAATCGGAAGTTGTCGCGTCGGATATCGAGCACTTGGGCGGAACCCATGAACTTGTTCTCGCTGAAAATAGAGAAAAACTCCTTCTCGGTGAAATTCTTATCGATTCAGGACCAGGGAGCGACCGAGAGCTCCTGTAATCAGCACGAAAGGAACAACACTTCACCTGTTTGTCAAAATGCCTGAACGAAAATTTCCGGTTCTCTCCAATTAACCCCCGAGGAATGACATTTGAGCATAGAAGCATCGAAGGAGCTTCCATGGCGGATTCAAGACAAAACCCAGAAGCGAACAACAATCAGAGAAAATCCGTCAGCTCCATATTAGCTTGAATAGCTTCGCATAATCGCATCAAGAGAGTGAAAAATCTGAGGGGAGAGTTCACATGTTAAGAACATTCCATTTTGGGCTTAACGAGCTTAGGTCAATTCAGATCCACAGTAGCCCAGTTTCAATGGATTCAAGGCCCAAATACATTATTTATTCATTTATTTATTTATCGTCAAATGAAAAATAAATCGAACAAAACCTCCACTTTCCAGATCGATGAAATAAATGAAATGCTAACGTTTTGATGGTATTGATAAGTCGTGAATAGATCTTGAATTAAAACCTTATGTTATTTTTTTTCTATGTTTACGTCTAACAAATATGTAAAACGTCACTCGCCAACTTTTGAAGCTATATAATAAATTAGAAAAAAAGCTTTACATACCTAATTCTAAAGAAATCAACCGATTTCAAGTTTTATTTTAAAAAAATATATAATTATATTTTTTGATATGCAATTTGGATCCGATTAATGAATATTCATGTTAAATATAATTATATTTAGTTAATCACGAGTTTATTGCATGAATGCAAACAAACATTACTATAAAATAGATAAAAAGGGCTCCATTATAATTTTAGAATCATTTTTAAAATTATGGGGATTCTCTGTAACGCGTGGACAAATTCCCCAAACGTAATAACGACGATGACACGTAATTTCTTCGTCCAAGCTTCTGGTAGCAACAGACTCTATCGGTCAATTAAATCTCACAAGTCGGTCTTTTTTCTTTTCATGTTTTTCATCATATATGTATATATTGTTATATTATATAGTTGAATTAAATAATGAAAGTCAAAAACGGAAAACGTGACATGACCAGGAAAATGGTGCCTATGGTGAGTAGCGTGGACTACATGTATAACACGAGGTGTTTATTGCAATATAAAATACAATTTTATTTTGATTCCTCTTTGGAACGAACCACGCATGTTCGCTTTCATTATAAAAAAATTAAGATTAATTAATTGCTACCACATCACACGTTGGAGAATGGAAATGGACCCCGTCAAATCATAATAAAGCGAGCCAAAACGTTTAAATAATTAAATAAAATTGTAATAAAAGTGGGTTATTTTTATTGACTTTCTTTTTGTGTGTACATGTGGACTTCCCCACACGCTAACATTATTGCTCGCTTCTTATATATATATATATATATATATATATATATATATATATGAGCCCTCAAGTTTCTCTTCTCCTCTCGTCATCAAATATTTCGATCTTCATTTCGTTATTACATTCGCATCCCTCAATAAAACTTTGGGTAATTATATCCAATTCCTTTTTTGGTATTAGGAATTCCAAATTATATTGTAACGATTTCTATATTACGTCTTTGGCCATAAAAACAACCCCTTTACGATGGCTATATTTCGTATTCGGATTAGGTTTTGGTTGTAATTATATATATATATATATATATACATATTGTTTCTCTACTACTTTTCATGCAACGTTTTGGTTCATCTTTATACGTAGGGTTTTCTATAACAGATGTATAAGAAATTCTCTACAACATTCATGAAACTAATTCACCGTCTTGGTTCGTTTACCATAATTTAGACGATAATTAGATCTTAACCTATTGTAGTGTCCTGCATATATCGCATCTCGCTTGTTTCCCACGTTAGGTTTACCATACAATTAACTGACTTATATATATATATATATATATGTATGTATTTGTATTTGTATATGCATATGTTATATAATCTCGCTGATGATTTTTATTTCATTGGTGTTCTCACCAGATTTCTTTGATAAACAAATGGAAACTCTGAACAATTCCTCGTCAAGATATGAATGCCTCCTCTTTGGTAAGCCCTTTAATTCATTCAAAACCACGCGATCACATATTTATTATTAATTATTTTTCCTTTTCTTTGGTATTTTTTTTCATTTTAATTTTTTTTTCCATTTTTAATAAGCGGCTTTCAAGTTATTTAATTTTTTTTCATCTAATTGTTTTTTTTCACGTTTACTTTATTTTTTTAGATTGATTTAATTTTTCAGATTCATCAATTTATTTATTTATTTTCAGATTTGGACGATACCCTTTATCCACTAAGCTCTGGTTTATCCAAAGCATGTGCCAACAACATTATAGGTAATGAGATTTCATTATCTATTATTTGGTAACACGTATAATATATAGTTTTTTAATTAATAAACGATCCCTGAATCATACATGTGATGAGTGCAGAGTACATGGTGCAGAAGCTTGGCATAGAAGAGAACAGAGTTGTTGAGCTCAACCAAGTTCTCTACAAAACCTATGGTACTTCCATGGCCGGTCTTAAGGTAATTCACCTTCAAACCCATTCATATATATACACACACATATATATATATATATATATATATATATATATATGTATAGGCATATTCATATATCTTTGGAACTTTGACGTCATTTTATGCGTGTTGTTTTCTGCATGCAGGCCATAGGTTATGATTTCGACAACGACGATTACCACAGATACGTGCATGGAAGATTACCATACAAGAACCTTAAACCGGACCCGGTTCTGAGAAATCTTTTACTCAGCCTACCTCTTCGCAAAGTGGTAATTTTTTTTTACTCTCCAATATATACCGTCGGCATTCATATGTACGTGTGTGTATATATATTTGAATCGGTTTATTAATTTTTTTCGGCTTAAGGTTTTTTCGAATGGAGACAAAGTTCATGTGGCGAAGGCTCTCAAGCGACTTGGCATCGAAGATTGCTTCGAGAGAATCATAAGTTTTGAGACGTTAAACCCTAAGAGTTCAGAGGTTTCTTGCGGCGGAAGTTATCTCCCTACGACTCCGGTTATCTGTAAACCGGCAAAGATTGCATTTGAAAAGGCCTTCGAGATTGGACAGATCGATCCTCATAAGACTGTAAGATCAATTTTTTTTTCCGGGAAAAATAGACCAAATTAATTTAAGTTTTATTAGTTCGGATTTCCTTAATTCAGCTTTTAATTTGAAATCGACAATCAATGTCGTTTTTGTTTTTGTGCAGCTGTTCTTTGACGATAGCATGCGAAACATCCAAACCGGAACAGCCATGGGCCTCCATACCGTCCTGGTAAGCCGGTTATTCATCGAACCAAACCAATTACACAATACAAAATCGTGTGTGTGTGTATGTATATATGAACTTACAAAAGGAAACCATTGGTTTGAACCGGACTTGGTTTTTCAGGTTGGTAAACCGGAGAAAGTAAAAGGGGCTGATTATGCATTGGAGAATATTCACAACATCAAAGAAACATTCAAAGAGTTGTGGTCGGAATCTTACAAGAAGAAATCCGAAAGTGTTAATCGTACAAGGAAACTTTGCTAATTACGTTTTCGGATCTTCCCGTACAAAAACGGTGAATACCATTAAAAAAAGGGAAAATGGCATAAACCCCCACAAATTTATTCAAATGTGTAAAATCAATACATAAATTTTGAATTTGACAAAAATCCACATCAGAATTCAAAATTTACCATTTACATACACCAATTCGAAAAAATTATAGCAATTTCCAACACTTCTTCATTTGTAGCAATTTCCAACACTGCTTCATTTGACGGTGAATTGAAACAAAAACCGGTCGTCGGAATCTTACATGTTTGTACACATGAATGCACCTACATATACAAATGTTTGTTTGGTATGTTTTAATTGCTCATTAACATATGTTTATTTCTTGTGTCATTCAAATTTTGAATAAATTAAAAAAAAATCGAATCTTATCTTTTGTTGTTTTTAAAATTTGAACAATCATGTTTACTTCTGGTTCTTTAAAAAAACATTCAAATTTAAAATTGGTATCCGGTGTAGAAATTTTTTTATTCAGTTTTAAATGTCGTTTAGTAACTTAACACGTGATAAAATCGTTGATAGGGTTATGAGATTACGATTTTAAAAGCTTGTACCATAGAATTTTTTTTTTTTTTGGGGGGGGGGGCATACAATTGTACGGTTGGTTACATTTTTTTTTTCATACTTAAGAGAACATATAATACATTACCTCCCAAATTCAAATTCAAATAAAAATGATAGATACAAAACGGCAATAGAAGTCCCAGTGTTAGAATTTGTACAGAGGATCATCATCAGAGTAATTACACAAGAGGACCTGCCTGCAAGGACTTACAGTAGCAAGAGCCTCTCCGCTGGCGGCTGGGACTGCGACCAGAACGAATGAGCAGTCAGGACGCGGTCCAGAAGCTCATGCGGCACGGGTTCTCCCCGTCGCTGTTGAGGCGCTATCCTCGCCGTGTGCACCAGCGTTTTCCATTTATCCTGCAATCTCCCAAACAAGCTTTTAAAACGAGGACACGGCTTTTGGTAAGAGGGATGGACACGAGTCGGGTACCCTATCTCATGAGGGTCTCGGGTACCCGAGAGCTCCGTATATACGAGGGATCTTGTCCCCTACCCTCATCCGACGAGGCCAAGATTTTTTTTTTTCCAAATTGGCGCTAATCCTAAAAAATCGACTATCTGTCTTCAAAATTTAAAACCTCCCTAACCCCAAAAAGCGACGCCTCACCGCACCCCCGCCACCTCATGGCCTCTATCCCCTGCAGGGCTGACTGGCTCAGATGCTCGCCGCCCAAGACCTGAGTTCGACCTCAGTGGTCTTCCCGTCAATAGATGAGTACCCAAGATTTCGGATATCCAACTCGTGGATTGAACAGATACTTGCCGAAACATTTTCACCGCTAAGCTCTAAGTGTAAGTGTTCAAGTGAGTCTACATTCCCCAAGAGGCCGGGAATCTCTTTATCCATATTTACTTTATTGTGAAGCATGCAAACTTTGAAACAAAATGCTGCATAAAGATAAAAAGGGGGAACAGTACAGATTCTAGCTACGAACCTTTAGATCGACATATGTTCGATGGTCTGCGCCCTCAAAAGCATGGCGCTTGATGTCTCTCCACCTGCAGTTTTCAACAAGACTTCGATCATCATTCTCTCCCCCCCCCCCAAAAAAAAACAAAGGATCAGCCTTTGCCACTCCAAAGAAACAATCAGGAAAACGCTTCCTTTTTTTCCTTACCTTCCGGTTCCGAGTTTCTCAACGGCCTGAACCAATGCTTCTACTTCACCAACTGAGAAAGGTCGACGGATTCTGCGCTGTGCAGCCTGCTGCTGCTCAGGTCTTTTAGATTTACGGTCTGGAGGTCGAGCTGCCAACTTGGTTAGCTCTCTTGAAGCCAAAACCGCTGCTTCCATAGGAAACAATGCTCTCGAATCATCTGTTCTGTTTTTTTCACCATATGAAACATCAGGGGATGGAGCCGAGTCATGGTCAGATTCCAACACATGGCTCAAGTCAGCAGCACGGCAGATAGGGAGATCATCACAGGCATGCATAATGTCCACTGGTGGGTACCTGGAAGAGAGAGAAGAGAATGAAACTCTAAAACTTCAAAAGATTGGATTTTTTTTTAATCATGGTCGCTGACTTAAGTTGTGGAAAGAAGAGTACAACCTGGTTAAAGGCTTAGGTGTGTCGCAGGGTATAGGTCCGGCTTCTGAGCTCGGTTCAAGGCAAAAACCCATAGAGTCTAAGTGGGTATTGTCCTGAGAGATTCCGGTCTGAAGAAGGGTTTTGCTATCATCTCGGAGTTTCTTTCCCTGAAGCATCAGACCAACTCGGAGTCCACCACCCAGTAAAGTGGTCACTGCCTCCATTACCATTCTCTGTAGAGTGATTAACAAGGAAACGGGAAAAGGTGAGATTTTTCAAGGGTAACAGAGGTCAGAATTTATGGGCATAACAGCGAGTTGTTTTTATTATTTTTAGATCTCTAAAGGAAACAGCAAGATGTGAAACAGGAAAAGATTAGATCTTTATGTGAAAAAAAAAAGAGATGGACATTGTCATTTACCTTCAGGGATCCAACTGTAGCAGTCTCTGGAATCTCTATGAAAAGCTCGGGAACCCTGAAAGACTTGATCCGCAATCTCACTGAGCAATAAAAACGATGTTTTTGTTGTTGCATAAGTATCTTGATAAGGAAAAATAATAAAATCATGCCTGGACGAGGTTGATTTTATTGTTACCATGAGGGTCCCTCGAAACATACGACCCATTCCGACATTTCATTGAAAAAATTGTTCTGCTTCCTGCAAATTGGTTTAATGGAATCGCATTAGATAAGAGCTGCGTACGAGATCTCAGTAATGGTTTAGAAGAGCCGAATCAGCGTTACCTCTACCCATCTTCGGGGGCAAATGATAATCATCAGAATTCAATTCAGAAATGTTGTCAAAGAATTTCCTTTTCTTGATGGGATAATTCCTCTGATGGTGCAAGCAATAATTTCTCTTTGCAGAATACCATGGCTTCACATCTGCAAAACCAAACAGGGAGGTGTTCATCACAAAAATCAATCACCATACTTGAGCTACTAAGATAAAATCACGAACCCTAGGTGAAACATTACCTGCATTTTTCAGTCCTCCTTTCCGATGTCTCGTAGCCCATATCTTCCTAATTCTTCTGTCTCCAATACGTGGCACCTGCCTACA